GTTCATACCCACATGAGTACGTTCATACCCAGACAGATATGTTCATACCCACATGAATAACGTGAGTACAAATCGTACTTATGATATGACACTGCAGTTGGTAGCTCTTCTGTACGGTACAAAACAACACGCTCAAGATTGTTGCAACTCATGAGTTAGCCTCACAAATACAAGAAGAAGTGTGAAACTCGCAACATAACAAACATATCGTAGGTACCGTATGTAGAAGTACGTACTAGTACGATCTACGGCTGCAAGAAGTTCCGAAGCTGAAAACAAATCACGAGAAGAAAACACGGGCCATACATTTTTCCATTATTTCAAAGAAATTAAATCAACTACCGTGTACCTCGACCATGTTGTTCCAGAGGGGGCCTATCACACACCCGATGTTGCTCGTCGCAACAATCTTCTCTTCTCCCCAGAAGCAAAACACGGGAAGTCACAAAATAATAACAATAGTACTCCTTAAGGTCAGCTAACTTACCGTACCGTACTAAGAAAGAGCAACAACACTTGCTGGTCTTTTCGGTTCCGGTCTGCTCCGGTCTTGTTCGGTTTGATTCGGTTCGATTCTCTGGAAGCAACGACAACGGGCCGGGAACAAAGACATAGACAAGCACAAAGACATAGACAAAGACAAACACAAATCGTCGGTACGGTCGGTCTGTTGGCATGAAAAGCCTCCGCCGGGAGATCGAGGCCGCGGTGGGGGGACAGTTGTTGAAACTGGCGGACCGCAAGAACGACGCGGTGATGAAGAAAGTCGGGCTGGTTCAAAAGAAGGTATACCTGCCGCGGGCGGGCATTTGCATGAACTATCTAGAGCGCGAGGCCATGCCGGACGAGGGCGCAACCAACAACGACGACGACGACGACAACAACAACACCCCGACCCTGCTGTTCTGCCACGGCCTCCTGTCGAACGGAAGGGACTACGTTCCGCTGATCCACAAGATGAAGATCCCAAAAAGGGTCCGCCTCCTCCTCCCGGACCAGATCGGCCACGGCGTCGACAGGGAACGGGCCCGGGCCGACCCCTCCGCCTTTGAATTCCCGACGCAGAAGGCCATGCTGGACTCCACCATCGAGTTCCTGGAACTCGTCCTCGCGCGCAAACGCAACAGGAACGGCAAAAGCAACGGTGGAGCGTCGAACAGTTGCAGAGAGGACCGCCAAGGCCGCAACCACGAGAGCAACAACAACAACAACAGCTGCAACGCCTTTGGGATCTCCATGGGCGGCTTTGTCGCTTATTACCTCCGGCTGCTGCGGCCGGACCTGGTCAAGAGGACCGCCCTGGTGAGCCCGGCCATGTGGGAGACCATGGACCCCGGGTTTCTCGACGATATCCGCAGCGGCCGCAGGGGCTTTGTCACCTTTCGTACCCGGGAGGACGTCAAGCTGTCCATGCGGGACCTGTCGACGGGCCGGGATCCTTCGAGGACGCGGGCGAGAACCAAAAAAGACCCCCTGCCCAAGTTTGTCATGGAAGCCTTTCTGCGGGCGCACAAGCGAAAGACCCCCTACGACGGGTTCAACAAGAAACTCCTCGATTCGCTCATGGGGGAAGGTGCTGGTGCTGGTGCGGGTGCGGGTGCCACACCGGTGACGGCGAAAGACCAACAGCAACAACAACAACAAGCAAGATATAGCAACGGAAGCAGCACTGCGGGAAGCAGCAGCGCCGAGAACCATCGTGCCAGTGAATCCACCGACTGTGTCTGTCTAGGCCACACAAGTAACAACAGCAGCTGCCAGAAGAGCAGCAGCAACAACAACAACCACGACCACAACCACAACCACAACCACAACCACTACAACGAGAACTACAGCGACGAGGCCATCGAGGAACTCTTTCACACCGAAAAAGACGCCGACGGAGACAGCCCACGCCTGGTGATATGGCCGGAGCTCGACATCATGTGCCGCCACGACAAGGGGAAAGCCTTTTTCTCGGATTCGCGAAACACCGAGTTCGAAAGCATCGCCGATTGCGGCCACCTGTTTCACTCGGACGGAAGGATCATACTCGAGATTGCCCGGGAGAGGCTGAGAGAATGCCTGCTCGATTTTTCGCCGTGCTAGCGGACGAGCGAGCGAGCGAGGAACGGTTGGAACGGTTGGAACGGTTCGTGTTCGTCACTCGCACAAACGAACGATTCACCGAAACCGAGCCTCCGAAATGACAAATCCATGGAACAAAACCAACAAAGCGCCGGGTACGTACGAGTGCTGAATTAATTTGAGAGTACCGGTACTTCTACTACAGTGAAACTAAGATTTGTCACATTCGTAGAAGTACGGAATCGTAGTCAAAGATAGCACATCAGCACTCGACATTGAGCGTCATAGACTATGGAACTATTGTTTGCTTTTACTATTAGCACGAAGTACAGTAATTTTTATAGTTGACCAGTTCTCAAAAAACAGGATACGACAGTTTCTGTTTCCCTCCAGAAAAAAATTGCGGTAGATAACATGACGTCTCCAAAAAACAATGAAACCCGCACGACGCAAAAAGGTGAACACAGTTCATCGTGATTCAAAACGCGCCTGGAGGAGTTGTTTGTATCTAATCAGTACGAAAGAGTAGAACCACAATGAAAATAGGCGACGAAGGGGATAATAGAAATCTACAATTATAAAAACCACTTAGTGTAGTAGAATCAAAAGGCATTTGATATGATTAGAGCCTCACAATGACCAATGAAATATCTTAAATAAGCCTAATAAACTATTGCCCTCCGTGTACGATAAATCTTTTGAGATTACGGTACTTGGTACATTCATACGAATAAGGGCAAAGTATGCCCTTGACAGGTGTCTATCGATAGCGCATCATTTGTTTCGGTACGTACCAGTACCGTACAATTAAATACTGTACTTCGTACTTTGTAATACTTATGATTAATGAAGACTACTACCTCCGTCCAGATACAATTGTACACTTTGCAGCTCTTCAGTTGAAATAAGCCCAATTGCAAAGCCTCATACACTAAACACCATAGCAGCTGTGACAGCTGCAGCTCGTGAGAAGAACTGGAATATTGTTGTGAAGCCCCAACCACCTTGAGTACTGCAAAGTGTACAATTCTATCTGGACGGAGGCAGTAGTAATTATAGTGTTCCGAACAAAAGAGAGGCAGATTGCTCTGTTTAGAGTACGGTACCGTACAGTAACTCTGGAATATTTGCAAGTTACGAGTTCGTGCTGTCATGTTACACCGCCTCCACCTCAGAAGAGAGATATGAATACAACCGTATCATACCGTACCGCAATACAATGTATTATTTTTTGTGCTGCAATCTTACGGTGGAATACAACGCATTTCTTTTCTATTAAGCTCTAGCAGAGGAGAACAAGGACGAAAACAGAAAACAGCCCGTATGACAGCAGGAAACATACCGAATATCATTGTATCAACAACAGAAATAAACAGCATCAACCAAAACCAAGACCAATCGCAATTATCAAAAGCGATACAGATGGTAGAGAACGACGATGATGCCAATGTATTCGACGCAACAATCTCACCACTACAGCAACAACAATTATGACAATTACAGTCACCAACACCATGCGCAGCAGCATGGCGCCAACGACGACTACACCGATCGACCAAAAGAAGACCCGAAGAAAGTCGACGTCCTCCTCGCCGAAGAATTGCTGAAGCTTTCCTGCAAGGAACGAAACGACATCCAGGAGGAAGTCCACGGCGTGGACTGCCTGGCACGGGAAGAAACCCCGGAGCTGCTGGAAGCCTCCCTGGAACAAATGGCGCGGGCACTCGAGGATAATCGCATCACGCCCTTCCACACGAAGGAAGCCCTTCGCAGGGCACGGGTCCTCTTTCCTAACAGCTACGTCCACACCCGGGACTTTCGCCTCCGGTTCCTGCGCAACACTCTGTTCGATCCAATCTGGGCCGCGAAGAAAGCCGCCGACTACCTGAGGATCGCGGGCGACATCTTTGGCGAGAAAGCCCTGGAGCGGCCCATCCTGTTCAGCGACTTTACCGCGAAAGAAAAGCAATACATTCGCAAGGGGCACTGCCAGTTTCTGCCGTTTCGGGATCGGAGCGGCCGGAGGATTCTGGCGGTGGTAAACCCGACCTTGTATACCGGAGATTCGGAGCGACCCCTACAGCAAATGAGCCGAGAGGAAAGGGTAAGAACAAAACAAAACAAAACGAAACGAAACGAAACGAAACGAAACGAAACGAAACGTACAAAAATTGGACGGAGTGGACTGTTGGTGTTCAACTACAGAACGATGTTTGCGCTGCTGCTCAACACAAGAACAAAACTCAGTTGCCATTTTTTGCTCGGCTTTGTTTTCTTCGCTCTTGCACTCCATCCATCCATTGCATCCGCCGTCTGGGAAATGTATCAAACATTACACTGTGGTATCTTGACAAATTTTTGCAGGACGATAGCATGTTTTTTATGCAAGCCAAGCTATTGATGTATATGGTCTGGACGGCTGGCTACGACATCGAAACGCAGCGCAGAGGCATCGTTTACCTGTGCTGGTTGGATCCCACGCACCAGCCAAAACAAAATTTCAATCTTTCCGTGGGGATTCCCCGGCTAAACATGACGTCTGTTTTTACGGTGAGAGCGAGTGCCGTTCATACTTGTTCACCCGACCGGCCCTTCTACCGGTTCTTTCGAAACCTGCTCATTATTGGATCGACGCAAGCCAATCGACCTAAGGTTCGGTTCCATCTTGGTAAGCAGACAAAGTATGCGCCATGACATCCCAAAGGTGGAACTCATATTGTACCACCTAGCGTACGGGCGGGATTTGCAATGCACCATGCCAGAGCCTCACGATCGCATTTGTTTCTGCCGATTCCATCAACTCACGTCTTATTGTTTCTCGGCTACCCCGTAGGGACATCCATTGAGGTCCGCTACAAATTACGAGCTTTTGGCATTCCAACAGAGCATATACCCGTATCGGTGACCGGAACAATAAAGACCGGGTACGTGAAGCAATGGATGCATGCCAGAGAAGTCATCGAACAAAATTATTTCATGAACAATTCCAATGTCACCATCGTCGAGTGCCCAAGACTGGACGATGTGTTGTTCCGGCACGGCATATCGTTTAATTCCAATCCCGGAAATGCTGCCGTTCGTCGATTGATCATTAACACATACAAAGAACAAGAAATTGTCAAAATAAAGCGACGGAAAATGGTACTCGCCATCATTGAGGACGTCCGGAAAAATGGCGGTCGGTTTCTAGTGTGGAACGACGAGGGCTGGTGGAACGAACTCTTGGATTTCGACGATATGATCATGGCGAAGGTCGAGTACATCATCAAAGACGTCCGAAGAGAGAACCGGATCTCCATTCGTCAACAACAACAACAGCTCAAAGTTAGCAGCAGTACATCGATCTTTTGTTCCGCTTCTACGAATGTTCAAATTCCTAGCAGCGATGAAGAGGACGGAACAAGTGATCGAAATTGCAATTGCTCGGGATTGATGCTACCTGCAATGCGGAGGAGGTAGATACGAATTTCAGCAACGCGGCAACGGAATGATCCGATGCGATACCGCCTTCCATCGTACCATCCCGATACCAGCAACCATACCCTGCAGGATTATATTGCGTCTGTTTTGATGAAGAGGAGTATGACATTTCCATGCATCACCAACGCTTTGGAAACCATACCGTCTTGGTGTGCTAAGCACCACACAAAAAGGAGTATGACATTTCCATGCATCACCAACGCTTCGGAATCCATACCGTCTTGGTGTGCTAAGCACCACAAAAAACCGACAACCCCGAAAGCGCCACGATCTCGCTCCTGCTACACTAGTGCGCGTTCCTCCAGGACCACCTTATTCTTAGCGTGCGCGCTCTCCTCTCTTATTAGAGTACAGTAGGTCCTAATTTCCACTATCGTACAAATCATGGTTCTGTAGTAAGGATAATGTTGCAGAAACATTTCGCAAGAGAAACATGTTCTCAACAACAACAATTATTGGACAACGTTCGACAGAATACCGCTTTTTCAGCTGTGGTGAATTTTTTATTTTCTCGGGAGCATTTACTTTCATGTGTATCCATTGGATCAAATTTCCTCTAGCATGAAACAACCATAAAATAGACAAAAAAGCTTGTCATGATACCACAGGTACAACATTGCGTCAGCGACTTTCGATTGGATTCCATGTAAGAAGATGCACTCTCGAAAGGAAAATGGAAGTCCAGAGAAAAACTTCAAGTTTTTAAATTTCGTACGGTACTTCATGCCAGTTCCAACCAACAGCTTGGTGGGAGTGTTAGGCTTAATACCGAGTAGATAGTGATCTCCTGCACATGTCCAACTCAACACTTTATCGAGATGTTTTCTCGGGAACTGAGTAGGTGACAGTGAATACGAGGACACAAATCCATCACGCACTGCCACGTCCTCTATTGTGTACGTAGAAACAGTACTGGGTATTGCAGTACGGTAATGTCCGTCGATTAGCGACAGAGCGAAAGCCAACAATGGATGATCAAAAACGTAGCTGGATGGCAGGATTGAACTACCGACCTTTCGATTACGAATCGAATGCTCTACCACTGAGCTAAACCAGCACAACAATTACATGAGAATTTTCTCATTATATATAATGCGAGCCAAAAAAATATATCTTAAAACCATTAATAGAAGTTATCTGAGCCACTGTTAAAGAAAACGATTCAACAAAGGCAACAAATAGTATATGGTGGATAGTAGGCTGAGGAAGGAGAAGAGGAGGAGAAGTTTACTAGTAGTGGTGGTACACCTACTATAAGCACTACTACTAAAACTACTAGCAGTTACTAGTAGTAGCACAAGGCCGGGTGAACAAGAAGAAGTTGTAGCACCAGGGTGCTGGGAGCACCACAAGAATGGTGCTGCATCCCAGCACCAGCCAGATATTCTTTCTCATACTAATAAAGTTATTATAATTAGTAATAACTCAATAGTTTTCTTGTCTGCTGTAATGTTGGTTCCTGTACTGATCATACTAGTAGTACTACTAGTAGTACTCGTCCTAGTAGTAGTAGTACTTCTTGTTCTTATACCACTGCTAGTAGTACTCCTGGGGCATGTTTCTGTTTCAGATGATATTGTTTCTCCTTTCCTCCTTTCCTCCTTTCCTCATCCTTTCCTCATCCTTTCCTCCTCTTCTTGACAGTAGGGTTGAGATTCATTTCAAACTTTCTAGTACTGGCATTGAGGAGGAGGAGTGTTAGTCAGCAGAAACTAGTACATTGGTCCACTAATTATTGCATATTTTCCTTTGGCCTACTCCTTCTCCTTTGTTGTGTATGACTCTTTAATAACAAATTTATCTGATATTCTAGGAATATAACTACCTAGTAGTAGTAGTAGATCACCACAGGAGAAGCTTCTTGTTCTCCTTGCAAGAACACTGTGAGAGATGGGAAAAAATTGAGGGGAAAACAAAGTTGAACAGTTGCTAGTTCTTTAGTATGATTATGCTGCTGTTGCTCTTGTTCTTTCAGGTATATTCACAGTAAGAATAGCCAGCAGAACAAGTTTGCTTATGAAGGATTGGATCAAATAAGAAGAACAAAAAAAATAAGCAACAAGCACACTTGGAGAAAATGATAACTTTGAAAATTCTTTCCAAAAAAGGCAAGAATTAGGGTGGCATTACCTCACACTGGCACAATGGTGCTAGGAATAGGAGCATTGGTTCCTTCATTAACCAGGTTCTGCATAGTAATAAGTTGAATCTTTTGCATAACAGGAAGGCTATCTTAACCAGATGTCATGATGAAGAGGGGAGCACAAAAATTCATATTAGTGTTATTATTTTTTCATTGATAGCTCCACTGCATCCTACTAGAAATAGAATTACTACTACTACTAAACTGCTGCTGATGCTGCTTTCCACCCAATATGTGAGCAGAACTGAAAGAATTCTGAACTACTCTCAAACAATCCTATTTCTACTAGTGAGATGATAAAGGGGCATGATCATTGCCGGTGCTCACAGAAGGTACCAAAAAATGGTTTGAGAAGATTATACTTCTTCTTGGCCAGATTGAGGTCAGTATATTTGATCACTTGTGTCAACATTTCAATTTGATGAGTTTAATTAGTGTTACCATGTCAATTTTCTGAGTGTAGTACTGAAATTCTGATCAGGAAAGAACAAGAAGCAGCAGCATAACAAGTCCTCAAAGAAAAGAAATCAAGGAGAAGAATCAGTATTCCATTCCATATGAATCATTTCAGAAGAATGTCTCAAACCAAAGAAATCAATGGAGTAGTTCCCCTGCTGCACATAATACCTGTCACTTCCTCCTACTAGTAGCAGTACTGTACTTTCGCCATAAGTTATTAGTATTTTCTTGCAGTGCCTTCTTTGTTGTACTACCACTACCACCACTACTACTACTACTACTACTATATATGCCTCCTCTGGGCAGTGCAAGAAACAATGACACTGGAAATACTAGCAAATTTACTGGTAGTTACTATTCTATTGGTGTTAAACTAGCATTCCATTTGCTACTGCAACTACTAGTAGTAGTACTACTAAGAATAATGGCATACTCAGAGCAATGCTCATGAAAACCAGTCTACGTACAATAGGAGTGAATAGTATTAGTAGCAGTATTTTTCATAGAGTAATGCTGATTAGTTACAACAAGTTGGAGATTTTAAAAGTTGGAGCTGATTTTTTTCTTATTTGCAACAAGAAGGATGGAAGAACAGAAGTATTTCTCAGGAACTGCAGCAGAACTTTTTGGTAAAGCATTGGACACCCCCCCTCTACTTTAGTATGACTCCTGGTGTTACCAGCAATACCCCATGCTACTACTATTTCTTGTACTAGTAGTGGAATATGAATTATTTCAAAATTTCCATATACCAAAACTACAAGTTTTGTTGTTGTTCTCTGCATTGTGTTTTCTGAATCAAGTTGTTCTCTGGTAGCAGCATGCATATGAAACTCAGAACAAGAAGAAGCAGTCATAGTGGTACTTTTTTGTTGTCTTGCTGATGATGGTATCAACCACACCAACCAAAAAAATCACTTTCTGATAATTTTGTGGATGTGCATCTGGGTGCTTCTTCTGTAATGTCTACTACTAGTACTAGTTACTATTGTTATCTGCTGTCATCTCCTCCTTCTTCTCCTCATCTAATGAATTACTAAAAGAAGAATATTGGGTTTTGTACATGCTAAAAGAAGTCCAACCACAAAGCAAAAACAAAAACCTGTGCAATGGCAAGGCAAACATGGTAATAGATGAATATTTCTGCAAAAACAAAAAAATATGGTAGAACATGGATGAACAATACTGCAAGGAAGTGTGGGGTGTTGATGTATACTACAAGTACTGCTATCTGATGTGATCATCTGTCTGCACTATTTTAGTAATTCTGCCACAACAAGGCACACTGTAATGGTCATAGTGTAGCCAGTACACCAAAAACTACTGGCTGGTCCTTTGAAATAGGAATCCTGCAATATTTTGTGGTGTCCAGCAACTTTATTCCTGGAGAAATTGTAAAGCAAAGTACCAAGAAAGAGAAATTACTAGAATTACAGGTAATTCTGCCATAAAACATACTGTGCTGATGCTCATACTACACCCAAACTAGGTCCTTTGCTACTACTAGTATGATAATTGTCTCTAATAATCACTAGCAATGGACAAACCTGTACTATTTTTAGAAGTCCTATGCCTTCTTTATTCCTGGAGAAATATTACCAGCGCAGAGAACAGCAAAGTACAACTAGAATTAGCTACACTGATGATTCTGCCACAAAATGATGTGAGGAGGCTTAGTACTTCTCTATGGTCATAAGATAAATTTCTGTGTCTTCTTGTCATCAATAGACAAAACTTCACTGATTTATGATTGCTAGTAACACTATCATTTCCCCTGTACTAGAAACAGCAGTCCAAATACAGCATAAGTGTCAGCAATATCAGGAGCAATTCATCTATCATCAAACACAGTGCTGCAAGCCCCATAACAACACAACACAAAGGTCTTTCCAGATAACAAACATATCAACCCTCCTCCCTAGTTACAAATAGAAAAGACCATATCAGACTACAACAACAGACAACATTTTAATCTTTCTTGCTGGAGAAGGAGTACACAGAAAATGATGTAGAAAAAGACTAGCATTACTGATAGTAGCTAATCATGCTTGTCCCACAAAAGTCAGTTTAGGGCCAACTCTGTCAAAACAGCAGGAGAGCCCCCATTTGCATGTTTTTAAATACMATTCAACATCTACTATGTCATGTCATAAGGGTAAATTAGACTAACTGCAAAATTGTCAATTGAATGGGAGATTCTCCATTTGGGGGCTCTATGGAATATCTATTTGGGGTAAGAAAGTAATAAAATAAGATTAATTTACTGAAGCAAAGGGAGTAATTAAGGTAATTTACCCATGTCACTTCTTGTACCACTACTATTACATAAGCGCATTAGTTCTTGAGTAAGATTCAAAGTTAATAACTTGAGTATTTAACTTAACAAACCCCAGTCTTCAAGTCAATTGATTTTGTAATTGCCATCTCTGATGCAGTACTAGTATTCTTCCTTCTCAGGGCCAACCACCAAAAGAAAAAGTGGAGAAACTTACACGACGTGATACTCAAAACACCTAACTGATATCATGTTTGTGTTGAGAAGGCCTTTAAAAGAAGGGATACACCAAGAGGTATGCCAGCACAATTTTGCTGTCTTGTAGTAGAGCAGTGACATTGATGCAAAACATGATACTGCTACTAGTAGTAAGCCAACAAAAACAAACAGATACTGATAGTGATGGAGAGGAGCTGGCTGGAAATGTCTCAAGGATAGACAACTGCTGCAACATATCTTGAAAAAAAGAAGCTGTGTACTAGTAGTATACGTGTTCTCAAGGACTTGTCACACCACCATCAAAGCACAGAAAGCATACTAGTACTAGGAAAAGACAGGAAGAAGAAGGAATTCAACCTCTTCTCCCAGCAGCAATTGCTTGTACTCCCTTTCTTGACCAAGGACTAAGACCTTGAGAGCCATTCTTACTAGAGAAGTTAGTAGCAAAAAATTTATTCAGAGCAAAGAAGTTCTACTACTAGTGGTAGAGTCTGAGTCTAAGAGAATTGAAGCTAGCTGAGGAAGTGACTTCTACTAGTATTTGAAGCAACTGATGGTATTGACACCATGCAACAACAATTTCTTGAAGAGTTACAAGAAAAAGAAAGGAGGAGATTCTGGTGCTAGTGGTTATGCTGACAGTAGTAGTAACATGATATTTGAGCTGATCAGCAAGGAGAAAGAAGAGGCAAAAGCCAAAAAGGATTATAGTTCTACTCCTAGTAGTAGTAGTAGTAGTAGTAGTAGTAGTAGTAGTAGTAGTAGTAGTAGTAGTAGTAGTAGTAGTAGTAGTAGTAGTAGTAGTAGTAGTAGTANTAGTAGTAGTAGTAGTAGTAGTAGTAGTAGTAGTAGTAGTAGTAGTAGTAGTAGTAGTAGTAGTAGTAGTAGTAGTAGTAGTAGTAGTAGTAGTATGCAGGAGAAGAGATCACCAATAGGAGAATCGATCAAAGTAGTTAGTATAGAACAAGACTTTACAACATGCTTGTCTGTTTCCCTTTGTTGTTAATATTATTGTTGTTCAAGATGGTAGCAAGCAACTTCATTACAACAAGAACTCACTCCTACTCCAGTGGTGGAAAGTGCACTACTACCACCACCAGCCAACTTCTTGCCCCCCAATTCTTGTTGCTACAAGAAGAACAACAAGGCTACTGGTGTCCAAGATCTAACTCCTAGTATTTGTTGCCACCAAGTTCCTCTTGTTGCTGTGCAACACACCTCTTCATTCACATTGTCAAGTCCAATTTAAACTGAGTCAAACTAGTAGTCAAATTAAGTGAAAAAGGCAGGAGTTTTCTAAAATGGTGAGTACTTCTGTCAAAGAGGGACAATTTGTGAATTTAGAGCTAAAACATTTTATTCCAAACCAGAAAAGGTTGAGACTACCCAAAAAGGGGGTTGGGAATACAACATTTAGGGTACGGAGGGGTCGTGTATACTGGTACAGAAACAGTTCACGGACTCACCAGCCTCCTGCCCTTCCAAGGTGCTCCCTCCTGGTGGAAAGTACTGCTCTGAAAAGAATTTAGAAGATAATCAATGAAAGCAATGTGGCTCTTTGATGTTTCTGAAATATGAACAATGGATTTGTTGTGTATATTTGGTGGTAGCTATTGGCCGCAGGACGAGAAGTCGTCGTGCTGGTGGTGATTTCAAAAGAAGCAGGTCTTCTTTCTTTATTTGTTGGCACAGGAGATGGAGTTCTTCTTCCTCTTGACTGAACAAGAACAACCACTGTACCTTATAGTACAGGAACCCACAGGAGATGGAGTTCTTCTTCCTCTTGACTGAACAAGAACAGCCTCTGTACCTCATATTGCAGGAACTAGTACTGATTCATTTTGACTCGTACTAGTCGCACGGTAACCGACGACGTAAAGATTAGGGATAGAAACTCTCAGCGCTAGCGTACCGGTACGTACGTACGAGTACTAGTGCATACTCGTACCTACCTCCCAAAAGCTCCGTATTCTTATTATTTTTTACCGTTGTTACCACTTTACTTGTGTTGCGACCACCGGAACGGGACGTTCCTTCCGTACGACGGGTGAGACAGCGCGCGAAACATGCGACGACACGAGCCGCGTGTTTGAAAGCCTCTACGCTCGCGCAGTACATGTTTGTACAGCTTTGGTGTCTCTCCGGAGGTCACCGAACGAACAAATACCTCCTCACGAACAGTAATAGTAGTAGTAATAGTAACTCGTACTTGTACTCGTACTCGTGCTCCGTAACGTACTCGTACCGCCGATCGAGGCTACGTACCTACCGCAGGAGTGCATGTGGAGTTTCCTATCTGTTGTCCTCTACTCCCCATCGTCGGGCTCCTCCTCCTCTCTGGTTTGCCACCCCACCCTCCCCTACCACTCTTCTGTTCCGAACAATTTAAACTAAATTAAATTTCCACCATGGGTCGCCGTCCTGCTCGCTGTTATCGCTACCAAAAGAACAAGCCGTACATCAAGTCTCGGTACTGCCGTGGTGTGCCAGAATCGAAGATCAAGATCTTCGACGTCGGTGCCAAGAAGGCCCCCGTCGATCTCTTCCCCTTCGTGGCCCACCTCGTCTGCGACGAAAAGCAGCAGATCTCGTCCGAGGCCCTCGAGGCCTGCCGTGTTGCCATCAACAAGCACTTGGTCAAGACCATTGGAAAGGAAGGATACCACATCCGCATGCGCGCCCACCCCTTCCACGTCCTCCGTGCCAACAAGATGCTTTCGTGCGCCGGTGCCGATCGTCTGTCCTCCGGTATGAGGCACTCGTACGGAAAGCCCATCGGCGTCGCCGCCCGTGTCGACATCGGTCAGATCCTCCTCAGCGTCCGCTCCAAGGACGCCAGTGAGGCCCACGTCATCGAGGCCATCCGCCGGGGAAAATTCAAGTTTGCCGGACGCCAAAAGATCCTCAAGTCCGCCAAGTGGGGCTTCACCAAGTACCCCCGCGAAGAATACGTCGAGAAGCGCCGAAGCGGAGAGCTCTCGTGCGACGGAAACATCGTCAAGGTCCACAACCGACGCGGTCTCCTGGTCAACTCTGCCCTTTACCAGGCCGGACAGGAGTAGGCAGCCGAGCCTAGCCTGCGCACCAACACCGATCGTGGCAACGGAACGGAGCCGCGTACTGCGTCTTGTGTGGCCCGTTGGGTTGTTCTAGATTGTGTACCACCCCATACAAAAAAAGAATTATTATACACCGAAACGGACGCTGTTTTCTCCCTAGCCATTGCTATTAGTAGTAGTATTCTAGACGATCGTTGGATGGTTGAGCACTATTCGTTGTGTCTTGCAGAGACTTGTGGCGATTGCCAATTGCACCTACGAAAACCGCAAGAGTAGCAGTACAGACCAAGCATACACCGATACCTCTGCAGCAGATTCGTCCGTTTGAACTACTAGCAGTATGCAGAACAGAAAAGGAAGGCATTGCATGACCACCAGCCCACCTTCTGAGAGAGGTCACCAGTACTAGTAGTACTAGCCACCCACAGTTCACAATCTAGTTCTACTACTACTACTACTACTACTAGTCTCTCAATAGTATGTACCAGCAGCAGATTTGCAACAATCTAAATCAAAAGAATGCTGTTGGCTGTGAGTAGTAGTACTACTACTAGTAGTACTAACAGCAGTACTAGCAACGTGGCAGCAGACTTATTGCAACAACAACAATCTGAATGGAAATGTTGTTACTAACAGTAGCAGTACCAAGAAACATCTGCAGCAACAGCAGGAGGTTCCAGTGAGCAGATGTTGGCTGCTTGTCCTCCTTCTTCTTGCTCCTGCTGATAAGAGAAGAAATCCACCACGTGGTCAGCATACTTCTAGTACTAGTAGTACTAGAATTAGTACTGCAGCTTCTTGCTTGTCCTCATTACTAGCACCATCTGCATTCCCACAGTCGGATTCTGCTGCTGGCAGTGACAAAAATGACAGAAGAAAGTTGAAGCCCCCAAGTGTCCCTTCTTGGGATTTTTGGGGTCAGCAACAAGAAGTTTATTAGTACTGCCTACTAGTACTACTAATAGATTCTTTTACTATTGAGTCAGCACTGGTAGTAGCAACCACAAGAAGCAATAGAAGAGAGAAGAGGAAGAGTAAGACCAAGCAGGCAGCAGTGCCAAAAACAATATTCTGGGAGGAACAAGAACAGCAACAAAGGAGACATAAGGATACTAATCAACAAGCACTATATTTTTTGTGGTACAACCATCATCTGTGCTGCAACAACTAGTACCACTACAACCATTTGGTGGTCACTTTTCTCCACTTCCTGCTGTTCGTACTAATGCAGCTCTGAGTTCAGCATCTTGTCTGCTGGTATCATTGTCTTTGGTTGTGCAACACCTTGTTCTGCAAGAGAAAGAGGAGGCAAAGAACAGGAGTACTAATAAAGGAGAACAAGAAAAATCATACAAGGAAAAAGTTTGTTGTTCTCATATTGTCATCCACAGTACCATTGCAACAACCTAGTATAACAACAAACCCCTATTGCAACTGGGTCACATGCCCTGTTACAACCCAATTTTTACAGTCAAAAAGATGGTGAGCTTCTGTTGCGCAAGCAATAACCTACTACCCATTTTTACAATTATTTTTCAAGCATATGATTTCAATCACAACAAATTTTATCAATGTGGTAATGTTTTCACACCACGCAATCAGTGCTCCATTTTTTGGGCCAGCACATTGCAACCCCTCCAAACTTTGATTGAACTATTCAGACACCACTCATTATTTTTTAGTATGCTGATTCACCACCAGGACATTTCCACTGTGTACATTCCTTGTTGTCTTGCAACCTCTTTCACTTGATTTCCAACCACCATATACTAATATTCTTTGTTGCTAGTATGATTGATTTCTATTCTCAAAAAGGAAGCACAAATCATGAGAGCAGTCCTAAGAAAATAAAGGCTAGTAGTAGTAGCTATTGAAGAAACTGGTCTGTTTTGGATTCACAGATGTCAGTACACATGTCAAAAAATAATAAAACTCTGGGTTGGTGTCTGCATTTCCATACCACCTGTAAGCTGGGTTTAAAAATATCCCTTCTAGTACTAGTATGCTCAGATTGATAGGAGCAGATGACACTTGACACCAGACCTGTTTGATAGCTTTTCCTGTCTTCACATACCCTATCTTCATGTACCAATCCAATTTCTTCTTGCCAAACTTTGCTTTATGTGCCGCAATGTTCTCAGAACCTTCTGCAGAACTCTTTCTTCCAAGTATTGGACAAACTCCTTGTTCGTCTGAAAATTTTTGGTTCTTTTCCTCACTGATTTTTCCTAATTTCTCAGATATACTCTTGTAGTCAATATCCCAGGAATTGCATGATCACACAGCACCATACTAGTAGTACTTTTGCTGACAACACCCGTGGCCAGTGTCTCACTAGTAGTAGTACTCATTCTGTTCCCATCATTCTTTACCTTCTTGTCCTTATCTTTAACTTTCCAAAAGGTTTGCTTCTTTGACCATCTAAAATTGCTTAAACCATCTCAGCTAATTGTTGCTAACACCATTTGCATTTATTGCTTCATGATTATGGCCTTTCTTCTTAGTGGGGTTACTTCTGGTGGTATCACGTTGAGTTAAGGTTAGACGAGGAGGGTGGTGAATCTTGAATTCATCGAAATATCCGAGACTTGAATACGATACGTAGGCACGGGTAGTACATACCGTGCCTCCAGCCGAAAAAAATGGAATGAGCGAGATTTGGCTTTTAATCATTGATCATTGGGCCAGTATTTGGTAGTACCAGGTACTGTATTTTCAAATACGTCGGCGATGAAATAGAATAACATCGCCGTTTCAATGTTGTATCTGCAGTATCATCAAAAGATTGATAAAAGATAATGCTTCAGTTTTACTTAACGCAATGAAAGCGGGGATGAAGAGGCGAACCACAAAAAGAAAGGACGTTAAAAAGTACTTCTATTAATCAAGGTTGATGATGTGTAAACCTTCCTTTGTGCAATATTTTTGTCTAGTTGTAGTACTAACCAGCGGGCGAGAACCGCAAAAAAAGAAAGGACGTTAAAAAGTACTTCTATTAGTCTGGGTTGATGATGTGTAAACCTTCCTCTGTGCAATATTTTTGTATCGTCATAGTACTAAAAACAAAAGATGGTAAGAAAAGTAAAGTCAAGACCCATAAGAAAATTTCTATCGCACGTTACGTTTCTCATACCGAGACTACCTCAGGAGTAACAGTTACATCCAATCGTACCGTAGAATGTGAGAAAAATAAGATTAAAAACTCAATCGATCAGGGAATAAAGTGACCGAAGAGTGGATGAGATTGCTGTACCTCGTATTTAGGAGACATGCCGCACGTGGTTTTTCTTCACTTGATACAAGTTTGTTTGCCTCTAAAGTCACGAGGTGTACTTGTCATGCGTTGATGTGGCAGCCATGGAGTTCGAATGACAAGTCTTTAAATCAACCAAGACGAGGCAGATACATTCTGTCTAAAAATCGTTCACTAAAATCTTTAGAAAGTGTTCCTATTTATTTGTTAGCGTTCGATTTATATGAGCTTCCGTTTCCGATTAGATCGGGCCTACTCCTCGATGCGTAATTATACATACTTCTATTTTGTTCTACGTATTGTTTCTCGTTCTTGTTTCTTGTTCATCCTATTTCTTGTCATTCCCTAATATCCATCTATGCCACCCGTGCATTTGGATGAATAAGAAGACGACGAGGAACAGGTCGATGCGCAATCCATGTCAGGAACTGGCACTGGAACCTTCTCAAAGAATGATCGATCGACCGGGGTCGTTACGAATTCGAAGAGTGGTGTAGAAAACGTACCGATGCGAGAAATTTTGGGCTGCAGCTGATTCAGGAAGGTGTACGACGGCGTGTTGTGGATGAGATTGTCGCCACTTGTCTGAATTTGGGGTTTTTCCCTTCCGTTATGCTGAGTTTCTCGCTGGTGTTGATGTTGTGAATCGTCGGCAACTAATCTTTTCTGGATGCCATGGATAGCCATAGACGATTCCAATATTGGCATGGGCACCGGCAGCATTTCGCGTCGTAGAAACTCGAGCTGCTGGTCCTCGATGCGCTTCATTCGCTTCTTTTCCGCCTTCTCCTTGTTGGCGAGTCTACGCTTGGCGACCTTGTTTTTGGAACTGGACTTGTAGCGATCGTGGAGGCAGTCTCGAAAGCACGACGTAATCTTTTCTCTCGCGATGCTCTCCGTGGTTTTTGAGTAACCGGTTCCGTTGTACCGGACAAACGGTGGGGCGGACCCTTCCTGGCGACACAATTCTTCGATAGCAAAGTAAATATCCGTGACAATGCTTGATTTTACCATTTTGGATTTTGCGTTGACATAATCTTGGACCTTATCTTGAACCAGAGACCGGAGCTTACGGTTTCCGGGAGCCTTCTTGGGGACTCTTCCCTTTCCAATGACGACGGTGCTCGAGGTAGGTATAATGTCGGAGGATTCCATTTGCATCGAAAGCTGTGAGAGAGGAACAGGGATTACTTCGTTGTGGATAAGGCTTTCTTGATGGAAGAATGAGTTGGGATAGCGCATCAGAGACGAGCTACTTGAGATTGTGGGGAAGGTTGCATTTGCAAAGTCGTTCATTATGCTAGTTGATTTGATCTTCTATGGTTTGTATTACCAGTGGGGTATGATTGATTTGATTGAAACAGAAGGGTCGCTTTGCTGTTGATCTTGTGTAAATTTGTGTGCTTTACTTTTTCTACGACTTCAAATTGTAACACACGCCCTTGAATTCCTGGACTTCTGGTATTTGTAAGGCCTAATTGATAATCTTCGCAGAAAGTTGCACTTTCGTTTGTTTTTGTTTGGCAAGATTCGGGCTGTCAAATTTCATACTGAGAACGTTGATGACAAGATTATTCGGAGAACCAAACGCTTTCTGCGTCAACAGTTTACAGGAAAGGGGTAGAGAAATATAATATATTTTAATCTCGCTAGTTTAACATGGAAGTCTCACAATTCTTCTTCTATGTTCTTTGTAGTGTTGCTTCTATAAGCAAGGCATTGAGGGATAAGTAATTTGGATGATAATTTTACGATCCATAAGTAAGGAAGCCCTGAATTCCATTCACAGAGATACGATAGAAGTACTCTTACTTTCCAATAGTATTATTGCCATAGGAAAACACATTTTTTTTCGAATAGAATCATTTATACTTATTATATCTTGTCGTTGTAATAGAATTCGCTGAGGTAGAATGTCGAACCACCATGGGTGAGGCTATAATAAAAAATGGGAAAGGCTTTATTATTCAGAAAGTTTCACAAGAATAACAACAATCCATGTCGAATCAAGAGAACAAGTACGGTACCTGGAGTACTTATCAGTCTCAACATGTCTTACACTCAAAGAGTCCGTATGGTGTAAGGTGTACGGCCCATGGTTCGTCAAAAATTTCAACACGATGTACGTGTCGTACGTACGGTACCTATTTTCCTGATTGTTTGTTAGGAAGTGATTGCGTTTCAAGTAGTGAAGTTCGTAATCCATAGGGTACGTACACAGCGGTGTGGAAGTCCAAAATAGTATTACTGATGTTTAATGGTGAAGATGGGCTCCCCGGGACTCATTTTGTTGCCTCCGTGGCGCAACGGCAACGGCAGCGCGTGGGAGTTCTAATCCTGAGGTTGCCGGTTCGAGCCCGGCCGGGGGTGAAACAATCTTATGCGCTTTTTTGCACTACAGATTTTGACAACGGGTTCCACCTGGAAGGACAAGGGACCCTACCATGCTCTACACCAAAAACTAGACATGAGATGCACTCACTTCCCATATCCACCTCAACATGACCATGGGAATAAGAATATCTCCACAAGAATAGAACTCTCAAAAGATCCAAGGGTAGTGGAGCCAGGGAGGTGGGTTTTCCCCTTTGGAAGGGGCTGTCACCACCATGGTGGTTTGGATGCCAGAGGAAGAAGGCCTTGGTCAGGTATGTTTGTGCATAGAAATCAGTAGGGAATCTAGGTGATAATTTTCAGAACCAAAGTGCAAGTTTGTGCGTTTGAAAAATTTGATTTGAAAATTATGATTTGAGATATGTCTTATTACTACTAATCGTCCTGTTGCAACATAGTAGTTGGCAGTGACATGAGTAGTAGTAGTTGATTGAGATTTATAGCCTCTGGACTTTGATTTCTTCCCTTCTAGTAGTAGTTCCCAACACCCACTGCAGTAGTAGAATACAATAGTAGGTGCTCTGATTGCAGGAGGCATGATAGCAGTACAATGGTGCACAGTACTAGTAGTAGCAATTAGTAGAAAAATAGTAACAACAGCACCAGAACAAAAGTTTATTGTTTTGATGCAACAAAAAAACATTACATTTGGCGTGAGGAAGGAATGATTGCAGATTTAGTCCCTAACCTTGAAAGGAGTAAATCAACAAATAATCTTCATTCCAATTGGTCAAATCAGAAGAAATTCAGGTGACGTAGAGGACAGAAACTATTTGAAATAAGATGTCCCTCCTGAGTCAACCATGTGGTGTATTTTTATAAATTTAGTTGCACAGAAGCATTTAATTTTTTTCTAAAGGTCCATAGTATTCCTCTGAACATTAGCGTCGCTCAAGGTTGGAAGAGGTCCAGAACACTCTCTCCTCAGACAAGGAATGACACTATTCACAAGCAATTTGTGATGTAGGATTTAGATTCTTCATCCTCACAATTATGCTTAAACTCACGTGTACTACTATGGAATAAAACTACCTTAAATTCAGTCTTTGTCTACTTGAACCGTCCATGACAGACCAGAAGTTGAGGGAGGGTGACTTTTTGAGTTTTCAATAATTCTCCAGAACTACTATTAGATAGTGCTAGCTACTAGTACTACTAGAAAACACTTGTCACTACTAGTACTAGTAGTACTCTTTAATATTTTCATTCAACCAAAAACAAAATATGACCATGTTAAATATCATGGTATAGAATTACTAGTAGTACCATACTAGATAAAAATGAGCATGCCTGGCGTGATTAAAAAATATTTTTGCAGATGAAGTTGGTAGTACTACTAGTACTATGCAGGAGTGTTTTCACAAGGGAAACAAAAAGTTGATAGTAATGATACTGAGCACCTCTTTTGAATTAAAATAATGAATATAAGAAAGTAAGCAATACAAATCTGAAGTAATGCAAAAGCTTTCAATACTAGTACTTTATTATCTACCAAGTGCAAGTAGTAGTGGCATATCAAAATGACTGTAGGAACTCATTCAACTGGTATAGTCAAAATGATATGGAAAAATACCCTGTTTGAAGGCTTAGAACTTCATTAGTGCTGGTATGAGGACATTGAAAGGCATAACACATTTGAATAGTATAACTAGAAAAGATTTCTTTTCATTTAATAGTAAATTGGTTAGGGGGCAGTCATATCTGGACAGAGGAAGCTTCTGGTGCTAGAGTTGCAATGGGGCATAGTCTTGCACAAACTTAGACAATAGTACCACTGAAACTACTACTGATAATACTATTAATACTACTACTACTAGTACTGCTACCCATAGGAACAAAAGAAAGCTAGTACTAGCAGTAGTACGTACTACTAGTTGTAGTAGTAACACAACAACGACAGCCACTTCACTCCGCTAGTCTATTCGGTGGACGATGATTTGGAGGGCATGGAAGCAACTGCAGCATGAAACTATTTATCCTCTGGTAGTGTTAAATGAATGGGGGGTTGTCTGTACTCAAAGTTATGTGGCCTGGTCCGATCAAGAGTCAGTTACGGTCTGGCCTGTGATACAACTATATGCCTAAGGGGAACTCGTGATGCCATTTAGTGCCACGTATCACACGTCTCATGTGGGCGTCCCGGAAAACACCGAAAGAGATCCTTGTCATACAATCATTGCAGCCTATAGATTAAGCTAAGCTTAGATGGATCTTTCGGTTCTTGTTGACGTTGATCGCGATTGGGAAATGGGTAGATCTTTTCACAGGGATTCGTCGATTCTCTCTTTTCCTTGACATTTATCGATTTTCTTGGTTCGTATCTTCTACGACAGCAAGTTTCACATGATCGTTTGTTGAGATGTAATGTTTCATTTCTTGTGCAATCTCTGCTTCTCTTTAAATTGTATTAGATTGCATTCCAACCACATTTGTTTCTCTACAGTTCTTCTTCATCTTCATCGTCATCTTTACCATAGACATAGTCATCTTCGTCATCGGTCCCGTTCATATCACCGGGAGCTTGGCAGTGCAGACTCCGCAAGGGCCCGGAATATATGGAGCAAACGTGCTCAAACAGTGAGTTCCAGATTCTCTCCTCGGTGTCTTTATCGTGAACGTTGTCCACCATCGTCCAGGGAAAGTAGGTAATCCTTGGGTTAGTGATTGAATGAACCTGCTTGACATACCGTTCGGCGAGGCGGTGGCCCTCCTGCGAAGAAGCACAAGACTCAATTCTGGTCACGGTGGCCTCGGACAGGCCAATGGCTTTGGCGCATTCGACGTCAACGGTGGCCGCGCTGTGTTGGTATGATGGGTAGTGATCGATGCAATCGATGTACCGGAATTGAAGCTCTTGGTGTTCATGTTTTTTGTGCATCGTTAGTCCATTGGTTCCGTTTGTTTCAAAACCATCTGCGCCACCGATACCGATGAAGTGAAGGGCACACGATTCCAGCGTGTGAGAAAATATCCGCTTGGTGGAGCTGTCGGAACCCGTGTCGATGCGGCCATCAGAGTACGGAATGAATGTCACGTCTGCCATGTTCGAAAAACCTGGGGTATGAAATGCCTCATTGAAGGAGGAGGTGATCAGTTGCCTACATCCAGGGCATTGAGGCATGTAATAGAGGTCTACCTTGATCTTTCTATTATGGAATTTTGTTATTTTCGCGGCTGTTGCTGCATCACTTGGTGAGTGTTGTGAAGCATGCCGCTCCTCCTCCTCCTCCTCTTGTTGTTGTTGTTGCCGCTGCTGCCGCTGCTGCAGGGGATCTTCGGCTCGAGTCACGCAGTACTGGTGAAAATGAAGAGATGCGACGCAGAAGATTGCCAATCGAAGGAAAGAGCGATAGGCCATGGTTATGGCAACGTGTTTCTTTAACTCTCGTTGCTGGCGTCTGAGTTAGAGAACGATGATTCTTCTGACAAACCCAACGAGCTTGCTCTGTTCAACCGCATTTTGACGCAAGGGATTGTATTCCAGAGGACCAGAACGAAAAAATCCGTGATAGTACGGTAGGTGCGAGAGTACGTAYGTACGGTACCACTACAAAGTGCATACCATGAGCGATAAATGTGATCGCCCGGCGAGCAATAAAATAATATCAATAACAGCGCGCGCTAGTGTGCTTTTGTGACGGTTCGATCCACACCTCTCTTGGTACTACGGTATGTGATATAGCTGTGGAGGAGCTCGCGCAGCGCGTGTACCATAAATGTAACCAGAATTTTGTACCTTGGCGTGTCCCTGTTATTATCGAGGGAAAATTTTTGTACCATGCGCTCGAGAGCTTTAGCTCGAGAGCGCATGGTACAAAAATTTTCCCGTGATAATAACACGGACACGCCAAGGTACAAAATTCTGGTTACATTTATGGTACACACAGTGACATCACTGAGATYGAGAGCTTGCTCGAGATCGAAGTGATGTTACTGCAAGTACTATCTTCCGCACCACCACCAACAAGCTCGAGAGCTTTAGCTCGAGAGCTTGTTGTTGGTGTTGCTGAAGATAGTACTTGTTGTGCTGCGCTAGCTCTTCCACAGATATTTACGTAACCGTTGAGCAGCTCAGCATTTCCATGTAACAATGAGCGTTTGGTTACTGCGCACTGCCTGCACAATTTAGGGGAATGGGCTCTTTTCCCTCCCCGATACGGTGTACTAGGAGCTGCTGATACAATGCGGAGGAGCCAGCGTTGATACGAGTTGCTGATACGGAGGAGACTCTGATACGATACGGAAGCTTGCTGAAACGATACRRAGGAGCCAGCGYTGAAACGAKACGRCGGAGGAGCCAGCGCTGAAACAATACGGCGGAGGAGCCAGCGCTGATACGATACGGCGGAGGAGCTGCTGATACGATACAGAGGAGCCAGYGCTGATACGATACGAGTTGCTGATACGGAGGACACTGATACGGCGTTCTCCTGGTGTTTTGCTTGTTTCCCCCTGCAAATCAATATTTCTATGGTGTTTTCTACACGCGTTTGTACTGGAATAGCAATCAAGATCAGTTTTTCACTGAAAACTGCTCACATTTTTTAGTACTAATACTACGTACAGTATTTAGTGAAGACAGTTTTTAGTTTGTACCTGGCGAGGTGCATGGTACAGGCGTTACAAGCGCGCACAAGGGAASCAGTGCGCCTGTTTTTGTAACCAGACCCGGTTTTTTTGTAACCACACTACTAGTGTTATCGTGGTGAAAATATGGGCTCTCCTTAGGAAAGGGTTTGGTTACAATTTCTGGTTACAAAAACTCAATCTGCGYGCTTGTAACTTGTTGAGGTGCATGTATTTAAGCAAAAAATAACTAGTGTTTGTTAGTGTTAGTTTTTTGTATCCGCGCAGTAACCAAGCGCGCGTGGTTACATGGAAATGTTGAGCTGCTCAACGGTTACGGAGAAAAGTAAGAACGAAGTACTGTACTAGAAGTTCTTCGTTGGAAAAACGAGAAAAGAAGGAAGCGAACAAGGAAATTCATCTCAAGGAACAAGCGCTCAGCGGATAGACGCAATTACTAGAACTACTTATATTCATTGCTTCTATGTACTTCATAATTCTCTCTTGTCTACCGGCAGTAATAGAGTACTACGGACGATGCCCGGCCCCGTTCTATGCAGTGTGATCTAAACGGAGTACCTCATCGGTTGTCGACACGTTTCGTGAAGGATATTATGATAATACTTTTACTTATTTAATATATGGTGTTTAGGTACAGAATAAAAAATAATATATATTAGAATGAACCGCAATGCAGTGCAACAATTTGCGATGCGAAGCCTTCGGATGCACAATTTCCATCTCGAATCGCCCATCCCGGCCAAAACGCCGAAATGGTTTGACGAAATCAAATAATGTGCATTCGTGTTTGTAGTAGTGGTATGTGTGTTATGTGTGTGATTGTGTGTTTGTATTGTGCATTGTGTGTTGCATTTCAAATGCGTACGGTACATGTTGTGCATCGTGTGCTTGCCTACGCCGTATGATTTCGGCTCACTCACCATTCATCGACCGACGACTGACTGGATTGCACGAAGGAATAAATAACCGACAAGTGGAACTAACCAACCGAGTGAATTAATCGCGATAAAAAAAGAAATGAACCATTCATTAGTTCATTCAGTCTTTTCTTGTGATGGAACGAGAAGTTAGTCACTTGGTTTGTTAGTCAAGCAGTCCCTTCTTCGTTCCATACACGAGATTACCAGCCAATCCAATCCAATTCGATCCAAATCAAATCAATCGAATGGATATAGCGTTGTGTTGTTCACGTACACATACACAACTCCTAACACCCACACGCATTGGCATCGGCTCCGCCCGCCGCACCGGAGTCTTCTAGCTTGACGGTACCATCGCCGCCGGCAGCGTCGCTCTTTCCGGAATCCGAGGCGCCCTTCGGTGCACCGCTTCCGTTTCCTCCGACACCTGCGCCTCCGACGCCGCCTTTGGCCTTCGAAGCGTTGAGGGCTCGGTCGTGGACGATCCCGATGAGCTTTTCAAAGGCCTGCAGGACGTTGTCTCCAGACTTGGCCGAGGTCTCCAAAAACTCCATCCCGTACTCCTGGCAAAAGGCCGAGGCCTTTTCCGATGTGACCTCTCGGCTCGACTCCAGATCGGACTTGTTTCCCACGAGCAGCTTGGCCAGATCGTCCGCGTTGGAGTGATCGTTCAGCTGGGCCATCCATCTCTCGCTCAAGCTCTCGAAGCTCTTAGCATTGGTAATGTCGTATACCAGGATGACGCCTTTGGCCTTGCGGAAGTACGTCGGCAACAGGACGCGAGCAAAGCGCTCCTGGCCGGCCGTGTCCCAAATCTGCGCCTTGACCTTCCCCTGGGGTGTGTCTAGCATCTGCGTGTCGAACTCGATGCCCATCGTGGCAGAGATGTCGTGGTTCAGCGGCCTATCGGGGTTGGTGAGTCGGGCTACCAGAGAGGTCTTTCCGACTCCCGAGTCTCCGAGCATGACGATTTTATAGAGGGGGGGCTTTCCGCCAGGGGTAGAAGTGGCTCGCGACATGGTTGATTTATTCAATTGACTGAGCGAGGAGGATGTGCGTATTTATGTGTACGTGGACGTGTCGATTGAAAGGGATTGAATGATCTATTCAAGAGCTCAATTCAATTGAAGTTGAAGTTATTTATTCGGTGTTATTGTTATACGCTTTCAGTCCTTGGTTGGTTCCGGATGGGAGTAGAAATTGTTTTTGCGTTGAACTGCTTAGTTCGCTTCGTTTCACTTATCTGTTCTCGTTCGCCTTGGTGTTGTTGTTTGGTGCTGTACGAATACGAGCACTACTTGCAGCAAACTGTATGTAAGCAATACGGTATGTATTGTTTTTGTCTGCCATTCGCAGTTCGTTCCTTTACTTTTCTTCCACGACTTGCTGTACCACAACATACTCGTACAAAAGTGTTGCATGCCGTTTGCCTTCTGTGATACCCGTAAGCATACATACTGCGAGTATTGTAAAAATAACGAGGGGCAACAATACCCTATTGCAGTGTCGGTTGACGCCGGCCAATGATCAGAAATGAATCCTATAATGTATACAAATCCATATAAAATGCAATAGAAATGGGGCGTTTGCGCGCGCTCGGAAAAAGTAGCCGTTTCCTCGAATCCTACCGGATAGCTTGTGGCCTGCAACACTTGCGGGTACACAGAAAAATGTACGAATTACCGAAATCAAAATGATAATAGTAATCATGGTACGTCTTTATAGTACCTACGTAAGGTACTCGTACCGGAAGGAAAGAATGAAAACATGAATCGAACGAATCGATCATCCAATTATCCAAAAACCAATATCCAATCAACGGATCCATGAATCCATGAATCATGGAATAAATCCAATCGATGCCGACGATAATCACAATCATCATCGCATTCGAAGAGGGGGGAGGGGAAATAGAAACGAAGCGGAATGGAATGTGGGATGGAACCAATGTTAATAGCAACTATCATTCACAACTACCACACAATGTCGTTCCTTCGAGTAATACGGAACTTTGTAAATCGCACGGCACAACATCGATGGAGCACAAAGGAAAATATTGGCATTGGAATGTATTCATGCACATACCGCCGTACTGGAGAAACGAAGAACACCAATCGTGTTTCTAATTGACATCGGTATGTATCATTTATTCATTTTTCCCTTTTTTCATTGTATGAAGATGCTGAAAATTGGAAGCATCCACCAGATTCTTGACGAAGGAAAGTTATTTTTCTCCATTCCCAGCTCAATTGTCGGTATTCATTTTTATAATAGGTGTGCATTTCATCTATCATTCTTTTCCGCATAGATTCGATTGCCTCGAGGAGAAACACAACTTCTAACAGCCATCAAGTCAAACGCTAGCTTTGTTTCATATCATGAGACGCTCCTCCAGGTTGGAATTTCATTCCTGAGTACAATACTGTAACACATCAGCATGCCCATTGCAAAACAGGAACAATGGAGTCGCATTGAAACGCAATTCACAAGTCATTGGCCGTTCATTCATCTATCCCTTTGTCTGAAATCGTACTTGCAGCACTTGCTGGCGGCTTTCCGCCCAAAGGATTCGGGCTGTAGCAGTTGCGCTGGATCCGACGGTGGGAGTCGCGGAAGGGATACTACTCTGATTACTGCCGATAACCTGGATCCATAGAATGGGTACTCTTTCCCCTTTGGCCTTCAATAGGAGCTCCCCATCTTCTTGGAATATGTGCAGGTTGTTTGCATCCCGTGCATACTCCTCAGCATCGCGAGAGAAGATTGCATACCGTACATTACCTCACAGCTGTTGGTGGATTCGGGTTCAACAAAACGGCTGCACTGTCGCAGGATGGGGACGGGGCGTCGTGTTGAGGAGACTTGGAATCTCCAGCAGATCGGTGGAACGCCGGCAACGTCGGCCAGGTCCTTGCCCGGATTCTCGAGGGCAGCCACAAATTCCTCGCTGCACCCTTCGCGACACTCGAGGATAAAAAATGTTGGGGACAGGTCGGGTTCTTTGTGGGCTTCCTGGTAGACCTTCGAATTGGGTCATCCTCAGGTTTGTGGGTGGGGCATCTGGTGGGCCTCGGGGGCAGCCCGGGTGGGACGACGCGGGGTTTTTCTCGATGGTCTTAAAATGGTGCAACGAGTGGGTTCCCTCGATGGTCTTCGAGACAGGGCCTGTGGATGCGCGGATGTGTCTGCATGTGATCGATTACCGTCACCGTGGCCATGCTGATAAACTACCGAAAATACGAATTGCATTATTCTCAAGTTCTACAGTACGGGATAAAAATTTACTTATTTTTTAGTTGTTCATCTAAATTATTTCACTAGATACTTCGTCCAGAAGAAAACCGGCGAGGAACATGCAACAAAGGGAGAGACACGCCGTGTTTTGGATCACGTGGAGAAGCGTCTTGCAGTTGTCGATGGAATTGGCTTATCGTGTCTTGGACAATCGGCAAGAAGACTCTCCTTTCGATTCTACAGTTAGAGTGCACCAGGCCAGCACGTACCGCACTTCTTAGGACAAAAGTGAGAGACAGTTTTGGTTCTGCCTTGTCGTTTTGCGGGATCGTTGCATCTGCTTGCGTTGACTCTCCTGCACTTGGTTAGGAATCCATCAATTCTAAACACTCGTCTCGAGTTCTTGCAAACGCACTTGAGCTTACAGGATGATTTGCAGAATTTTTTCACCTTTCTGTTCCTACGTGTGCTGTCCTTGCGGTTGCAACGAATTTCTGGGTTGTTCCCGGCCCATTGACAGTCCTTTCCTTCCTCCCCTTCGAACAAGTAGTTCACCTTGTCTCTGGTGCAAAACCTGGTCAGGTCGATGGTAGGGCTCAAGCTTGGGGGTGAAGAGGGGCTACTGGATGGTGCGTCGGATGGTGCGTCGGACGGTGCCGCGGATGGTTCCGAGGATGGTGCCACGGATGGCGACGCGGATGGCGCATCGGATGGCGCCGCGGATGGTTCCGAGGATGGCGCAGCGGATGGCGACGCGGATGGCGCAGCGGATGGCGCCGCGGATGGCGCCGAGGAGGGTGCCGAGGACACGGTTGGTGCACCGGATGGTGACTCAGAGGGCGACGCAGAGGGTGCTGCGGAGGGCGACGCGGAGGGTGTTGCAGTTGGCGACGCGGAGGGTGCCGCGGATGGAGCCGCAGAGGGAGAGGCAGAGGGCATCGCGGATGGCGCCGCAGAGGGAGAGGCAGAGGGCATTGCAGAGGGAGCTGCAGAGAGAGAGGGCATTCCAGAGGGCATTCCAGAGGGTGCTCCAGAGGGACTACCAGAAGGCACGATGGAGAGAGAGGGCATTCCAGAGGGCATCCCAGAGGGAACAGAAGAGGGAACTTCAGAGACAGATGGCATTCCTGAGGGCATCCCAGAGGGAACCATAGAGGGCATACCAGAGAGAGAGGGCATTCCAGAGGGCATTCCAGAGGGCATTCCTGAGGGCATTCCAGAGGGCATTCCTGAGGGCATCCCAGAGGGAACCGTTGAGGGAATCATGGAGGGCATCCCAGAGAGTGAGGGCATCCCAGAGGGCATTCCAGAGGGCATTCCTGAGGGCATCCCAGAAGGAACCGTTGAGGGAACCATGGAGGGCATCCCAGAGAGAGAGGGCATCCCAGACGGCATCCCAGACGGCATCCCAGACGGTGTCGAGGATGGTTCTTGTGCATGAGCATACCCGATGATTGCCAGGGCAGCGATGGTGGCAGTGGAAAAGCGCATGTTGGAGTTAGATTAGTCCAGTATATTATTCTATTGATCGGTTAACACGGTAGTCCGATCTTTTGTAAAAACGTTCTGTTTGCTTTTTGTGACAAATGGAATTCTTTGAGCAATTAATTTTCGAATTCGGTGTTGCGGTTTTCACACGCACCTTCATGTATTTTGCCACGAGGTACGTACAGGTAGCTGCCGTATCCAAATTGAGCACTACGCTCGTGACTTGCATGCGTAACATTTACTAGTAGGATTTAACATGATATTGTGGTACTGTACCGGATTTCCCGCTAATTCTGACCAAGAATTCATACGAACGAGACTGGTCGTGAAACAATCGTGATGTTGTTTACGGTATTGTAAAGGAAACGTTTTACTTTAGAACTGTGTAGAAGGCGAAGATAAAAGAATTCTGAATCAAAATCATATCTTGGGACTTTAAGTCGCTCGCCGAAAAAACTTTCCGTTGAGGCTCAAGGATTCGTGTTTGTTTTCTGTTAAGGTTCAAACATTGTAATTAATTTACTGAATATAATTGAATAGTCGAAGATAAAAAAGACCACTTCAACTCTGATAAGCTCTTTCTGGATCGAGCAAGACTTGCTCTTTCCGCCAACAAAAGGATTTTGGATTTTAGTATCATTTTGAGTACTACTCCAGTCATTTAGTATCCATCATGTGATAAAAATGGATCCTTGATTGAACAATGCGTTGAAGATTCCCAACGAGTTAACGTAGAGTACGAGGTACCCGTATGTAACGATGGGGATTATTCGGCGCCTAATATTTTGAAGCTCTACTGGTCCTTAGGTAATAAATACACTAATGTAACCGTTCAGTACGAGTATACGTATCACTTTTATCGCGCCTATTGGGTCTTTGATGTTGAGCGGCAGGGGTCATAAATTTAGATATGCCAATCTAAATTTAGATCTAAAATTGATGATCCGTGATGAGCAGTTGGCAAAACGTACCGGTAGACCAAAAGGACAGGTCGAACAGTCGATTTAAAAAAATCTTGACACGCCTGGTTGTAGTTACGTACGTACGTACCGTGCTGTATGCTGAAACTGTTTCCAGAGACTGACTCGAATCTCTGTCTGAACAGAACTTTTAGTCCTGCTATTAGTAGTACTCGTACTAGTAACCGCTCCGCAGCAAGAACAATTTCAGCTTGCGTCAAAAGGCACAGAACTCGTGGACCCTTGAGAAGAAAGAACAACTACTACTAGTAGAAGCTACTAGTAACAACAAGAACGTTCTGCTGGGATAGTATGTTACTAGTACAATCTTGACCAATTTATGTTGAATCATCACTGCGACGAAGACTAGATTGTAGTGGTGTCCAATCTTTTGTTGCACACCATGTATCAGCAAACATTATGATCCTCACAAAAATTGTTCATTTTTGTTAAACATTCTACTAGCAGTACTACTAACTCCTATTTCTACTAGTAGTAGGTAGTAGTATTGTCGTGATGATGATGATAATGGTGACGGTGTAACGAACCACTACAAGAAAAAAATGTTTTACTACGAGTTTTACTCTGCACTTTCTTGTACTACTTCTACTAGCCTACTCATGCTAGAGCGGCCGATAGCCGCACCCTCGTCGAGTAGGTCGTGGTCCACCGCCTCTGCTCCTAGTAGTATAATCGTAGTACAAGTGCTGCTGCTGCTGCTGCTGCTGCTATGCTCCATGCCGTGCGTTCGCCTCGTCGATGGCTCCCATGGCCCGGGCTCGGTCCGAAGCCCCGGCGGTGTGCCTGCGGTAGGCCTCTCGGATCCGCTGCGCCCGCGGCCGCCCCTTGCACGGGTGTCGGTGCTTTCGGTCCGAAGCCGCCCTTTCCCCGCGTTCCCCCTTCCGCATTCCCGGTTGGCTATGGTGGTGGTGCTGCTGCTCCTGCTGCGTTTCGCCTGCCTTTTGCCGCTTTTGCTGCTGTTGCTGCTGTTCCTCCAGAACGGCCGCGATTGCCCTCTTGCGGCGCGCAAGGCTCTCGGCCCGCTCCGGGGATTTCGGCCACCACTTCTCTAGGCCCCGGATCGACGACGACGAGACTGCTGCTGCGTGGCGTTGGTGAGCGTCGTTTCCCCGGTGGTGCCTCACCACCGCCGCGGAGGCCTCGGCGTGGATCCGCCGGTAGTCCTCCCTCGTGAACCAGCAGCGTTCCTTCTCCTCCCTCGAGTACCCGGAGCGGGAGGGCAGAACCGGCCCGACCTCGACCCTTTCGCCAAAGGACACGCGCTTTTGGCGTCTCCGGAAGAGGGGTTTGGCGGGAACCGGGGAGGGCCTTGCAGCGGTCGTTTCCTCGTCGAAGGAGACCACCGCTGGAACCCGTACCGACGGGGACGGAAACACCCTTGGGGGCACGGCGAATCCTTCGGGGCTCGCCGGTGGTGCCTGCGCTGCACCCCTCGCTCGCGGAACACGGGGCCCGGAGCCACCCTTCCGCAGGCCTCGGGAGGGGTGTTTTGGTCCCGGCGGCTGCGACCCCCCGCCGGTAACCACCAGCCCCCCGAGCAGCAAGGATGGTTCCGCGTCGCAGACGACCCTCGGCACCGGCGGGCCGCCCACCAAGCCGGCACCATGGGCACCGCCCCTCCCGAACCAAAGGGGATTCGCCGAAGAAAGTTGCGGTTGCGTTGGTGCTTGTGCTTGCACCTTCTGCCCCGGGGGATCGAAGGCCTTCTTTAGGTGGCGGTGGTTGTGGCGGGAGGGATCGAGATCCCGGGAGATCCGGGGGCCCTCCCGGTCTTGGCTCGGGGTCTTTCTTTTTTTAGGGTGCGATGGCAATGGGAATGGCAATGAGAATGGCGATCGCTGCGGAGCGTCGTTCTCGGAAGAAAGCGCAACCGCGAAAGCTGCCGGTGGGATGCGGCGGGGCATGGTATGGTATGGCGGCTCCGCGACGCTCGGATCGGACCCGTGGCTGCAATGGCGACTGCGACCGCGACTGCGACTGGGATTGGTGTCTCGAAATCCGTGCGATCGGAATCGGGGTTGGGATCCGTGTTGTGTTGTGTTGTCTTGTCTTGTCTTGTGTTCTTTCGTGGAAGGGTAGAACACGACTGGTAGCAGTGTTGGCTTGCTTGTTAATTGGTTCGTCTATCGGATGTTTGCGGTTGCTTCGACTGAGGTGTGTTCCTTTTACATTCGTATTTATAACAATTTGTATTGTTGCTGGTGTTCGATTGCGTGTTCGTGTTCGTTGCGTTGCTCCCATTCGATCCCTCCGTGATCGGGTTATTCTTTGTAGGTTTGGCGAGACGCCCTCGCCATCGGACTAAGCACCGGTGGCGCTCCGTGTCGGTGTTGGTGCTGGTGTGCCTGGCCTCGTTCTCGTTCTTGTTTCCTTCGCGGATAGTTCTTGTTGGCAATGTGTTGGGTCTTGCCCGGGCCTTTCCGGCTGTGGCTAGTGCAGGAGCTAGCAGTAGTACGGTAGTACTAGACGTGCATGCTTCGGAATTGCATGCGGGAAAGGACGTACGTGCACGTACTACTACGTACCGTACGTACGCTCTGTACCGGAAGTTAGTCCCGATCGGTCGATAAATTTGGGCGTGTTGGTCACCCCGGTTGGATTGCGGCACGACTCACAGCTCACGGTGGGTGTAATATACATAATACAGTATGAGCTATAGCTATTTAACATAGGTAGGTACTAATACGCAGAAGGGATAGCTACATAACATAGGTACTACTAATACGCAGAAGGGATTCCAGAAAGGGGGGATCGGAAAACGAATCAATGAATCAATCAACGAGTAGGAAAACGCATCTCCCGATTTTCGATTATTTCGTCTTCTAGATCATCGATTGGTCATCGAAAATGCAAAATGTCCATGTGCATCGGTCATTCACTCTCGCCTTGACACGAAAAAAAATAGAAGTAAAAAATATACGATTAGATACGGTATTGGACGGACCGACCCGTCCCGATTCGAATGCATCATTCTTCGTTCGGTACTGGAACGCACGATTGCACAGTCCAGATACCGCACGATACGAGCAAGGATGCATACAGTATGCTACATACTTTGGCATAGTGTGCGCTTTCTGCTCTTGTCCGTTACCCCAACGAGACAGGGAAAAGAAACACGATCGGGAACCACGCAAAAAACACGATCGATGGATGGATTCTTGGCGTCGGTACGGTACCGGAAGACTTCTTCGGCGCGCGCCAACAACCTTCGTGCCGCCGCCGCTCGCTCGTCCCTGGGGCAGATTGTTTCTTGTTGTGGTTGGCTCGGGTCGGGCGGGGTCTGCTGCAGGGGTTTCGATTGCGCATTCAAAATCATACTGTAGCCTACTAACCGTGGCCTGCCTAAAACTGCCTCCAGCGTGCTAAAACTAATATTTTCATTCATTCAGAATTGGTCTATTTTAGGAAGGTCTACTCACTATTAGTAGACACTGGTGTACTTGGTATCAATGGATAGATCTCTTCCATTGTCGATTGATACAGTTTGGATGGAAACTATGACGATCAGGCGACGGCAACAGCAACAGCGTCTCGTTGGTCTCCAGCAAGCGCGGTAGATTCAAAGAGAAGCTGTAATGGACTGGAGGAACACCCTGTGGACTGGCTTGCTAGCAAAAAGTAGCTGTAATGGACTGGAGGAACCCCCTGGGGACTGGCTTGCTGGCGAGTCGACTCCTTCTGGGCCTATGAAAATTGGATTTGCACTGCAGGCGCTTGGATTCCAGCAGCTTTACTGGAGCAGCTTTACCGGAGCTTCTTCCGCGGACGCTCAATCTATTCGGATGAATTGACTAGATGGATTGAATTACAGTCGGTTGCCTGGTTCCATCTAGCCCTGATATTGTGCTGAGTGCTCCCTGTTGTGGTTATATTGTGATAGAGCCTCTGCATTGCAGCAGCTCATGGGACAAGGCATGACTGTGATTGCCTACGTCGGAAGCAAGTTGTCGTAAAAAAGAAGCTACTTCTACACGAATCAGACCAAAACAATACTTCTACTGGGTCCTTTGCTACAGTCCAACACATGTCAAATCGACAACGAAGGAGAGCTATCCCGTGATACTTTCAACTCACTCTTTCTTAATGTACGAGTACTTAGCTAGTATCAATGGACAGCTCTCCTTGATTGCCGATTTAGCTTGTGTTGGACTGTTTTTGTTTTGATTGAATGAACAAGAACAGTTTGAGATCAGCGCACGCTGCTGGAGGGAAGTGTTTAGGTCCACGACAGTAGGACACAGTTGCACAAGAGTATCTGCACAACACAACACGACACAGCGCAGCGGCACGCAGTACCTTACCGTACAGGGGTGCACGAACTCCGTGAACGAAGTACAGTACGTAATTGAGGTATTTTAACATTATATTGTGAGGATCAAGCTAAGGTAGAAAGTCAAGAAAGGAAAAAGGGAGAGAATCTGTCGGGTTGGATTTCTAGATCTCCAACCCGGGACTTAATCTGAAGTAGTATCCAAGGGGAGCTGGCTTCGTCCTCTCGTTGCCACAGGCGTGCGGAAGTACTTCTATGTGACACGTATGTACCGGTCACTATCCGCACGATTCACATAATGGCATGTATGCAGGGGTGTGCAGGGGTCATAAATTTATGACCCCTGGGGGTGTGGTTGTCGTGACTAGTGCTTTACTGTAGTACAGCGAGTGACACAAATCCAGTCTGTTCCAGTGTGTGTGGGACATAAAGTAATAATGAATCACGAGTTTCGTGCCGTACGGTATTTTGTATTTTCAATTCCTTGGAAGGTGTCGAACGTCGAAACTCAAATCATGCAATACGTGTGAGCCGCAATACGTACCAAGTACGTACCCTACCCCTACTGTACGGTGATGTACAGGTGGGTACGCAGTACTGTACTGGGGCAGAGCAGGTTTGAAACACGCACCCTGCTGCTGCCTTGCGAGGACGTACCGTAGGTACCGTGCCGTACGTATTCTTACGGAGAGCAAGAAGGAAATCTTTCGAAGAAGGGAAGGAATCGATGGAAACGAATCGATGGAAACGAATCGAATCGAAGCAGCCTACGAGTACTTGGTACTCGTACGTACTGTATCGTATCGTAAGTAGCGTACGATACTGTACGTACGCTACAGTACTGCTCGTGCTCCTAGTTTTGCTCACCTACCGGTACGTGCAGTATTCGTACTATGAAAAGTGGGAGCGGGTGATGCCGTGCCGTGTCATGTGTCATGTTGTCATGTTGTGATGGTTCTCACAGCAGTTTCTCTTTCTTCTCTTGTTTGTGTCTTCCTTCTCAGAGCGCATTGCATTCCATCGAGACGAATGGGAAGAGTGGAGAACACAAACCAACAAGCCAACAAGATATCAAGCCATCAAATAGCACAGCACAGCACAGCACAGCACAGCACAGCACAGCACAGCACAGCACAGCACAACTCCGGCATTCCCCCGAAAGATACTCCAGCACTGCACACGATCTCTTTTTTGACACCGACCGCCGTGAACCGCTACAATCCTTGAAGAAACCAGTTGCGACGCATCGCATCCAATTGCATCGCATCCAATCGCATCGCATAGAATCGAATTGCATCACAACAAGCAGCCACAAAACAAAGCAGAAGAACCAATAGAATTGTCCGTGAACAAACAAACGAACGAACGAACGAACAAACAAACGAACAAACAAACAAGCACGGCACACATGCACAGACACGCAGACGCAGACGGCAGACAAACAACGACACAACACATCGGAAACAAATACAAAGCCAACGACAAAGACAAAGAAGGCTGCTGCTGGACACCCAAACCACGCAACGAGGTCACTGCTGCTGTTCGGCGTAGTGCTGCTAACACTATCTGCCGATTGACGAGCATCGATTGCCGAAAGAGAGCAAGTGTCCTGGCACGGAAGCCAACCGCAGAGCCTACAAGCACGAGTGGAAGCACGAGAACAAGCAAGACCACAAACAATACCACTAACAAGACCACAAACAACACCACAAACAAAAGCAAAAGCACAAAGACAAAGACAAACACGAGAATGCCCTTTCTCTCCAGGGGGGTCCTCTCCAGGGTGCTGCCGATAAACACCAAGCCGTCCGGAGCCGAGAGCAAACCTCGGACGAACGCCGGGAAGGCAGGTGCTGCCCGGGGCAGGAGTGGAGAAGCAGCGGGCATGGCACCGCGCATGGCACCGGGCAAGCCAGGCAAAGGATCGTGGTCCCTCGGCGGGAGGAGAAGAAGGAATCACGGGAACGAGGCAAACGCAAATGTAAGTGCAAACGCAACCACCGACCGGAAGCCGCGGCGTTTGTTCTTCCTACAAAAGGAGGAATCCCCTGGGTCGCAATCGAAATCGCAATCGAAATCGAACCCAAACCGGAAACCGAAACCGCCGACCGGGGCTCTGGCCAGCGGGCGGTGGGGCCGAAACAGAAACGAAAACGAAGGAACCATTTTCGAAACCAAAGCCCAAAGACCAACAGAAACAGAAACACAAACACAAACCTACACACGAATCCAAACACCGGAACCGGACCCCCCCATCCTGCTCCCGCCGGGGATCCCGTCGATCGTTTGCGTTCCGTCCAGGGGGACGGGCCCGGGGGGAACCCCCCCCTGCGGAAGCAAAAGCAACCGCAACCGCAGAAGCACCCGAACCCCTTCTTCCGCCGCGAGCGGTCCGTCTCCCGGGCCCGCCCCCCGCCACTACGGCTACGACTGCCGGCTCCTGGACGGCCCGCCCCCCCTTCCGGGGCGGGCGGGGGCCCCCGCGGACGAAAGGAGCTCCCTCGGCACGAACGACGCGGATTCGGATGCGGATGCGGATGCAGGGGCACGTGCGCCCGCCACCACCGGGGACGAGGGGGGCTTCCGGGAGGTCCTCGGACACCGGCCAAAGGGGTTCGGGTGCGGGCTCGGGCCCCCACCGCTTGAGCGGACAATGCCGTTGCGGAAGCAGGGAGGCCGGCCGCAGCGGGCCGTGATGTGGCACGTCCAGGGCTAGCGCGTTCTCCGCGGGCCATCGGCAGCAACAGCAGCAGCAGCAACATCAACAGCAGCAGCAACAACTTGTACTACCACAACAACAACAACAGCAGAAGCACCCAGAGCTGGTCGGTATTGGCATCCCGCCTCGATGAGCAACACGATGCCTTCCACGGGAAGGGGCATTCCCGATACGGATGCCACCAGAAACAACGGCAACGGTTGCACCAGTAGCATGCCAACCGCACAGGCAATGCCATAGACAAGCCTCGTTCCAAATGCAATCACCACACCAACGACAAGAACGAAAAGAGCAAGAACGAAGGAGAAAAACATGCCACGGGAAGAACAACCGATGCTCTTTGGATGTGGTGTGTGCAACGATCGAGGCAGGCCCACGGCAATCTCTCGATGCGCCAATTCGACACGCGCTATGCTGTGAGTACAGCACATCGCTGTGGCAGTTAGTAGATATATATATTCTTGTTTCTTATCGTAAGTAGAAAATCCTGTACTACTTTTAGGATGGTGTCTACTACTAGTAATGGTGCTCCCGGAGAAATAATAGTACAATGCATACTATCAGAGGAGGAGATACAGCACTCAAAATTCAAGTATTCAATTACATCTGCTAGAAGAGGACTCACTTTGAGACCCATAACTCTGTCAAGTGACTACTTTGCTGTGAGTAGTTTGCTGGGAATATTTTTCTTTGACAGTTAGTATAGTAAATATATATTCTTGTTTCTTATCATAAGTAGAAAATCCTGTACTACTTTTATGGTGGAGTCTAATTGTAATGATCTTCCTGGAGAAATAGTCGTACCAGAGGAGATGCAGTACTCAAAATTCAAGAATTCAAGTATTCCCTTACATCTCCTGATACAAGAGGACTCACTTTGAGACCCATAACTCTGTCAAGTTACTAGTACCTTGCTTTGAGTAGTTTGCTGTGACAGATAATATTTATTTCCTTGTTTCTTACCATACTAATTAGAAAATCCTGTACTACTTTTATTATGGAGTCTACAACTAGTAATGATGTTCCTGGAGGAATACTAGTGGTACCACCAGAGGAGAAGTAGCACTCCAAATTCAAGTATTCAATTACATCTCCTGCCACAAGAGAAACTCACTTTGAGAGCCATAACTCTGTCAAGTGACTAGTATTTTCCTGTGAGTAGTTTGAAGCAAATGTTTTGTTGTGACAGTTAGAAGCTTTTTATATATTTTTTTTCTTATCATAATTAGAAAGTCCTGCACTACTTTTTTGATGAAGTCTACTAGTAGTAGGTAGTAATGATGTTCCTGGAGGGGGAATAGTAGTAGTACTACCAGAGGAGGAGATACAGCACTCCAAATTAAAGTATCTGCTAGTAGAAGAGGACTCACTTTGATATCCATAACTCTGCTATCAAGTGACAACTTTGCTGTGAGTACTTTGCTGGAAATAGTTTGCTTTGACAGTTAGTATATATATTCTTGTTTCTTATCATAATTAGACAATCCTGTACTACATTTTTGATGGAGTCTAATTGTAATGATGTTCCTGGAGAAATAGTCGTACCACAGGAGGAGATGCAGTACTCAAAATTCAAGTATTCAATTACATATGCTAGAAGAGGACTCACTTTGAGACCCGTGGGAGTGACTATCTAATAGTGATATAAATTGTGTGCTACAAGAAAAAGTGAGTTGATGTTTTTATTGAGGATCGATGAACTATGAAATCTAAGACCAATCAGAATGAAGATCGAGTGATGTGTGAATCGAATGAGTCAAGTCACTCACGATGCTAGTGAATCAACCGAGTCATGTCAATCATATGGATCCATAGGATCAAGTGAGTTATATATGTATAATGTGTATGAATCATAGGTCTGATACATAGGTATTTGTTGTAGATATGAATCATTCCCATGATCTGATATCCTACAGACAGCAAGACGCAAAACTCTATGATCAAGTGATTACTTTTCTTTGAGTACTCGTAGTAGTTTGCTGTGAGTAGTTTGCTTTGACAGTTAGTAGATATTTTCTTGTTTATGATCATAATTAGGACTACCTGTTCTGCTTTTATAATGGAGTTTACTAGTAATGATGTTCCTTGAGAAATAGTAGTACCAGTGGAGTTGCAAGATTCTGTGGTGCACCCATGACAAACATCATGTACTTGATTTTATTACACAGTTGCAAATAATTGATATTCCTTTGTGTAACCATTTAGCTGTACTAAAATTAGATTTGCATTTTTGCTTGTATCCTACTAGTACTTGTTACAAACAACTAACACAAGCAAACACTACTAGTAGTACTACTAGTACTAGTTATTGTTGTTTAAAGCTGGTGGTTACAAAGTGTGCAGACACAATTTTTGTAAACAGACCATGTACTAATCAATCCCTTCTGTTTAGAGAAGTCCATATTTTCTTTACAATACTACTAGTACTACTACTACGACTACCACCAGTATTGTGGTTACCAAAATATGTTGGTCTGGTTACCACCAAAAAAGTGCACAGTACACCACCACTTCTTGTAACCAGACGCAGCAAGCACCCCAAAAGTAGGCACAACTATCTTTTGCTTTTTTCTGGCTCCTCTAGTACAGTGTAAAACAGATAATTGATCAGGGACAGTGAAATGCATACTGATACTAAATTATATGTAGGAAAACACTGCAAAATGGACTCCTGGTGGTCATCACATTGCTGAGGATATTGAAGACTCTTACTATTTAATAAACCGCTTGGCCCATTGATCTGAGACTTCCAGACTCCCTTCTTCTTATTATAATGAAATTATTCCAGTATATGTGTTGGTGAGAAAATGTCCGAATAGCTTTGTCAGGAGGTTGAGACAAAGTCTAGTGCTGGTGTTTTTTTTCTGACTAGTACTAGTAGTAAAAACTGTTTGCTTTTAATGTATCCATAACCCATTTCAATTTTGGGCAACATACCTGCCTTCCTACCTTGTATGGTACGTACCTGCCCGTTGTGTGCGTGTTGCAGCACAGGTGTTCAAAACACACAAAAAGCGGATTTTATTTGTTGATTTTTCGTTGGTGTTTTCTTGGAGTTAGGGATAATACGAAATCAAACAATCTGATTGGGTGATTAGACAGATCAAAATTATTGAAAATAAATTCTACGGAGGATTTGTACTACATTCAAAATCATTCACTATCTACTTGTGATTGTGGATTGTCATCACACGAGGAAATAGAATTTTGAGGGACTGCAAATTTTTTTGTGTCCAATCAGCCAATCAGATTGCTTGATTCCTACAAAATATTAGTATTATCCCCAACTCTAAGAAAACGCCAAATATCAAGTAATATCCCTCCGTGAACACCTGTGGCAGCGCGGGTGCGGTGGCCACGAATATTGTTTTGTGCTGTTGCGATTCGGAATGTTTTGTTTTTTGGCTCGACGCCTTAGGTAGCGTTTCCGCGGGTATCGTTCCTCGAACGAGAAACCTGCGTCTACAATGTGTCACGAAAAGAACGATTGTGACGCATTTGCCAAAGCCCTTAAATCTTTCTGCGTACCACCCAAAACTGTTCCTGCTTGATCGAGGGTTGGGGGTGTCCCTGCAGTCCCCGGAATTCCAAAATTCCTTAAGGACTGCGGATGGGTTGGGGTGGATTCTATGAAATTTGGGTTACATAAGGATAATATGATTTTCGAGAGCCATACTATTTTCATTGGTTTTCTCGAAACCAAAGAAAGTCCGGGCAATCACCTTCGGCTTCTCTTGCTCCTCTGACGTTTTGGTTTGTCACTTCCTTCTCGGTCGGGGCCGGGTACAAGGCTTACGGCAAAGGCTCGTGCGGATGACACGGAGCTTGCTGGGGTTGGGTTCCCTGCTCTTTGTCGACGTGCCGTGGGATTTTCGTCTTCTACGAGTACGAGAATCCGCAAAACGGAATCGTATCGTACGCTACCGGTAGGGGCCAGTGAGAGCTGGCAACGAGAGAATGAATCGATGTGTTCGTTGTGCCAACCGAACAACAACCGAACCTACTAGAAAGCCGAGCATCGCGGAGGATGGTTCTGTTCTAGAGCTGTCGGCCCCGTATCGTGGCTTTTGCCATGGTGTGTGTTCTTGTTCCCATGATACTGCTACATAAACTAGCAATAGAATTAATAGTTGTGCGTTAGTATTAGTCGTTGTCTAAAACTACAGTGTGCATCGCAGTGCCGGTAGTTTACAGTTTTCTTGCGTTTCGCTTCGTTTCGTTTTGTTTCGCAGCCCTTGTTTGTTTATAGCATGCAGCCCATCAGGCAATCGGCAATCTCGTCGCTCTCGAAATCGTCCACCTCGTCCCGCAGAAAGGAATCCATTTCGAAGAGCTCTCCGACTTCCTTGTTGAGGCGATCGTCGTTGGCAATGATGGCCTGAACAAGCTTTTCGTCGTTGGCAATGGCGTCGTGGAAGTTGTTGTCGCCGCTTCCGTTCGGAGTGCTTCCGCTCTGGTGGTGGTTGCTTCTCGCTTCGCCGCAATCGACGCTTTCGAAAACGCCGTTGGTGTCTTGTTGCTCCTTCTTGTTGCCATGCTTGTTCTCGTATTCCTGGCAGGCAATGTCCACTGCCGCGGTGGAGACCGCGATCCGCTCGGCGTTGGCGAGGAACTCGCAGATGGATTGGTGCTTGAGGAGCGAGTGGTTGTGCATCGAGTGGCTCCCGTTGGCAACGTTGTTTGCGAGGTTTTGGTGGTCGCTGTCGGTTGTTCCAAAGGTTGCCATGGCGAGCTTGTTGTTCTTCATCACGGTGGCCTTGCTTCCGGCTTGGATCGAAGACAACGAAGTCGAATCGTGTACGATCTTTCGTCTCTTGTTGGCCGCTCGTATTTGTTGTTCCCTGGTGTTTTCGCTGTTGCTGTTGCTGCTGCTGCTGCTCTTGCAGGCCTCTTCTTCCGGCCGCTGCTGCTTTTTCTTGGTGGTTTTCTTCGCCCGGACCACCTTTGTGGGAGCCGGCTTTCGCTTTCCGCTGGCCTCGAGGCGCCGGATGTGGTTGAGGAGGGTCTGGCGGATCTTTTGCATCAGGAGGGGGGACGTCAGGGGGAGTTCCACCCAGCAGCCGTCGGGAGCGGTGATGCCCTCGATCTGGGTCGCCGTTTCGAGAAAGCGGGGGGGGTTGCTCCCGGGAAGGCTTTGGTTGGCGAATTCTGCGACGCACGCCAGGAGGATGGCGTGTTTCTTCTTCCAGGAGAGGGTGGATTGGTAGACGTCGATCTTGGTTTCGAGGAACTCCATGAACTCAAGGTTGCCCCGCTGGAAACGGTTTACGCCGTTCCAGTACTTTCCTCCCTGTGAGAAGAGGACGTCGTTGGTTCCCGGGCACTCGATGACCTTGTGGTTGTGGTTTGGCGCCATTTGCTGTTGTTTCCTGGACCATTCCTTTGTCTTGACCCAGCTGTTGTGTTCCTTGAGCTTGATAGTGCCGGTGTGGGTGACGGGAATCTGGTGGGTCGGGATTCCAAAGGGGGAGAGTTCCTTCTTGGTGGAGTCGTTGCTGGCATCTCGGTTGTAGAGCTTGACGCGGGCGATGTTGTATGGATGGTCCTTTAGGAAGGACCGGACCATGGCCTCGCAGATCGAATGGGGTGTGACGCGGTGGTGGGCAGTGGTTTCGGTTTCGGTTTGGGTTTGATCGCTTCCGTCAAAGGCCAGGTGGACCGCTCCGAAACGAATGGGAATCGACCGAACGAGTTCCTCGTATTCCTTCAGGAGAAGGGAAGACTGGCAGGCCTTCTCCTCGGTGGTGCTGGTTGTGACCAAATCGGCAGAAGGGGTGACTGTTACCGGCTCGGTGGATGGAGTGTCGGTTGCCGTGCTTTGGTTTGGTTTGTGTTCCAACGTGCTGCTGCTTCCCTGGTTCTTGGCCTCGGTCTTGTTGGAGGCATTCAGGACGAGAACGAGTCCCTTTTGCTGGGTTTCGGCGTCGCTTCCCGCCAGTGCGCAGAGAAAGTAAAAGATGGCCCGGAACTTGCTGCGCTGCTGTTGCGTTTGCTGCTGCGTTTGCTGTTGCGTCTGAAGGTCCTCCGTGTCTTGCGGCATGGGTTGGAAGACCACCACCCTGCGACCGGAACGATCCCTGGAGGGAAGCACCTGGATGGATCCGGACTTGAGGGCCAGCATGTCTGGGAGGGAATCGAGGCTTCCCTTGCGCTTGCTCGAGGAGCCGCTCGCCTTCTTGGCGCCCCTGCCCTTTTTGTTGTAGATGCCCCTGGACGAGGACGAGGACGCACCGCCGTTGTTTTTGTTTATCTTGGAGGACGAGGACCTCTTGCCCTTGGGTGGCGTTCCTGTTCCACCGATGGGGTGGCAGCACTTGTTCCGTTCCTCCCGGTCGAGACAGTCGATGGTGAGGGGTTGCTTGAGGCCGAGGTCTCCGTAGTACTTTTCGAGCGACGTGAGGTGCCTCAGGAAGCGGAGGCAGGCCCTGGGGACGTCCCAGAGATCCGCCCGCAGGCACATGAGCCGGAGGGCCCCGTTCGGCAGGGTGGCGTAGGCAAAGTTCCTCTCGAGGCACCGTTCGTAGGACGCCGTGAGTGTTAGAGAGGGAGTGTTTTTGTTTCTACCGTTCCCTCTACCGTGCTCTGCGAGGAGACGGTCGAGTTCTTCCTGGAACTTGCGGAGGAGGATCGCCGTCCTCTGGAGGTCTTCGTTGTGGGCATCGGCATGCGCACTTGCATTACCAATCTCCCGTGGTTGCCAGTGCCTTGCACAATCTACGCCGTGGACTTCTTCTTCAACGCGGCTGCGATCGAGACTGGACATCTCCGTGAGACCCCTGGCGATGGATCCTTCCAGTTGTGCAATCGAGGAAAGGTGCGGGGCCAGTGTGGGTGTGGGTCTTTGGGGTTTGGATGCTTCTTCTTCTTGTTGTTGTTCTTGTTCTTGTTCGTCTTCTTCTGCCGGCTTTGAAACAGACGCGGCTTCGTCCGGTGTCGAGGTGGAGGTGCAAGTGGAGGAGCAAGATTCCTCTTCTGTTTTGTTTCGCTGTTCCTGTTGCTGGTCTTGTTGCTGGTCTTGTTGCTGTTGCTCTTGTTGGTCTTGTGCCTTGGGAGGGAGGGATTCGCTCTCGCTCTCGCTGTTTTGGTGGCTGTCGGCGTCCTCTTGCCCGAGAGAAATCGAAGCGGTGCTTGTGCTTGTGCTGTTGCTGTTGCCGTTGCTTGATCTTGTGCTTGATCTTGTGCTCACACTCGTTGCCACCGAAACCACAGAGGCGGTGGCAACGGGTTCGGAACCGCTGCTTTCCGAACCGCAATCGCTGCTTCTTCTGCTGCTGCCCGTACTCGTGGGTGTCAGTGCCACCAACACCGCGGTTCCGCAATCGCGTTCGCTTCCTGTCGCGGTTGCGGTGGATGTGGATGTGGATGTGCTCGGTGCAGAGGCAATCGTGTCGCTAGCCATGGTTGGTCGAGAAATGTGTGCTTCTGTGTGTGTTGGAGAGGGGTAGGGGTGGTGCTTTCGGGAACGTTCCGCGTTGTGAGTGATAAAAAGGTTTCGGGTCTCGATCGATGGCACGGGTACCGCACGTACTAAATGATAGCAGGACACGGTATAAATAATAGGAAAATTAATATAAATGATGAATACAAACACAAATGTCGGGGCCGATGATTCAGTGTGATGAGAAAGTGCGAATCGTTGGCGGGTCTTCCTTTTGGAACAAGAACAATCTGCGCTGTGCACTTTTGGACACCTATCGCAGATAGAAACCGAAACCAAATGGCGATAGAGCGATATATACTACAGAGGAAACTTCCCAGCGGACAAAAAGCACACAGTACCATTTCCTGCAACGTTCCGGAGATAGCTTGAAACCGGATTTTGGCTTAAGCGAGCAGCGATTGTTTTCAAACTTCCGTTTTTCTTCTGGGCCACGTGACGACAGAAGAATGCTCTCCCGGAATAATTATCGAACAAAGAATACCGTTATTAATTGGCTTCAAATCATTTCGGGAATAAATAACGGTTCCGTTGAAACCCTATAATTCACGTCCGCAGAGGTGGCGCACCGAGACCAACGGTTTCTACAACCCGAAGATTCCATGCGTTGCGTGGTCCCAAAAAAAAAGAAGAATTTCGGTGGCAATTCCCTTATGTATCCACCTTTTCCTCATGGGTTCGGGCGTATTTCTGATTGGTTGCAATGGCAATGTTCTCAATTGATTCAGAGACGTGGTATATCTTGGCGCAATATTCCGGCATTATGGGTAATGGGGAACTTTCTGTAAGGTGCCTTTCATTAAAGCCTCTTAGAATTTACGACCGATGAACCATGCTTCCATTTTCTACGGGTACCGTACGGTACGGTACCTTGCTGGTTGGTTTCCTACCGTACGTACGTAATACAAAATAGAATCGCTTTGCTTTCCTACTGATACAAGCAGTCATACAATGCGTAGGCGTACGTAGCGCACTTACGGTACCGATAGGGAATGAAACTTAAGAACGTTGGTACCGTAGTTGGTAGTCGGAAAGTGTGGCCGACAGAAAATACCTATGCCATGAAAGACTATTGGAAACTTTTGAATTATCCTGATTCGTTTTTTATGTCAGGAATCCTTTGGAAATCAGAGATATTTTTCAAACTACCAAGGTTGGTTTATTATGCATTTCAAAATCGTACTATTTTTATCATTTCGGATAGAACCGCTGACGAAGTACTGTGCTTGCGTCCAGAGTCTCTCATCGTGTACCATAATTGAAATTATTGATCCAATATCGTGGCGCGACACAAAATATCAATTTGTACTTTTTACTTATCGTTCTGATGCAGTGTGAAAGTGAATAGGAACTGGTTCTCTATGTTGTTCGAGCCGTCCACATTCCACATCGTGTGCGACACAAAATATCAATTTGTACTATTTACTTATCGTTCTAATGCAGTGCGAAAGTGAGGCGGGTACTCTACCGTATGTTGTTCGAGCCGTCCACATTCCACATCGTGTTCCACCAGGTCCGGACGGTACGATACGCACTAGTACGATAGTAGTTACGAGGAACCATACTACCGGTGCGTTACGTACGTACTAGTTCAGGGCTAAGCGCTACTACTTCTATTAGTACAGTACTACATTATTTTGGAACTGATTGGTCTGGATTTTGTACTGATGCTGTCCATTGGAGGTCTGGAAAGATTTTTATCTCTCATGTACTGATGGTTATGGTACTCCTCTTTAATTTCCTCTGGATAAGATATGACTATCATAGTAGTAGTAGTACTACTAGTAGTAGTAGTAGTAGTATCCACCAGTGATTGGAATTGGAACATTTCTTCTTATTGTTGTCACCATCATCGTCATTGTCCATGTCATCCTCATTGTCATGATTGTTCTTGTCATGGTTCTGTGGGTTGAGTTGGGTGTCAGATTGACCTGGTACTAGTAATTAGTAGTAAACCAAGTAACACACCAACATTTCATGGAACAATTGGTCTTGAACCAAAAAACCTTTCTCATATTGTATAGCGTGGGCCAAGCAAAAAAGCACGGTTTAAACCGTACATTAGCAATTCAATATATATGTAAACATATATAAGTCAATATTTGTTGTACACCGTACTCCCCCACCCCATTAGAAAGCTCTTTGAATTCTCTTTTCAACCATGTGCTTATCATACTTAAGCGTCCGTTGGGGAAAAAGTTATGGCTGTTCGAGTGAGTTGAACCTCTCTTAATGCCCTACATGCTTTTTGTACTGTGTGTGGATTAGCTGCCATCTAATTACCGTGTAATGACTCATGGGATTAAAATTTGACTTGTACCAGGGCTACATTGTGCACGTGCGAGCGAAACTATTTTGCACATGATGGGAGCAAAACTATTTTGGTGGGATTCAAAAACTCAATGTACTGGTGAGCACGTGGATTTCGTATGTATATAATTTTTAGTCAAAGTAGTCATTACATGAAAAAAGATGCCCACGAATCCAAGGTTTAAACCGTACATTGGCTGGCCAAGCCTATGATAGATTCGACATGACGATGTAGGTAGGTGGATGGGCTCATCTAGGTTCATGTGTTAAAATCGCACCAATTCCACGTTCTGATGGTTCTATTGGATGAAACTGCTGGTGTCATAGTATTGACCTACTTAGTAGTAGTTGTACTAAAACAAGTCTCACAAACATTTCATGGAAATCCTCTTGAACCAAAAAACCATTTCTCAACAAGATTTGATATGTGAAAGAAGGAGGGTGATGGGATTCTAGATTGATGGTGTGCTGGAATTCAACCAATTCCATGTTCTGGTGGTTCTATGGATTGAAACTGCTGGTGTCAGATTGATCTACTAATTAGTAGTAGTACTAAACCAAGAAGTAACACACAAACATTTCATGGAATTCCTCTTGAACCAAAAAACCATTTCTCACAGAAATATGATATGATATTCTTGGAGGAGGGAAGATGGGCTCAAGGTTGATGTGCTAGATTTGCACCAATTCCATGTCATGATGGGGGGTATGTGGGTTGAAACTGGTGGTGGTGTCAGGTTGACCTAGTACTTAGTAGTAACAAACCAAGTAATACACCAACTGTCCATGGAATTCCTCTTGAACCAAAAAAATAATTTCTCATTATAGTAATATAGATTTGATATAGTATTGGTGGAAGAGCGCGAGGTTGAGATGCTTGAATTGCACGGTCTGTGGATTGAAGAAACTGGTGTCAGATTGACCCACTAAATAGTAACCCAGTAATAGGTGAACATTTCAAGAAGAAGTTCCTCTTGAACCACTAAACCATTTCTTCTCATATAGATTTGATATATTGGAGGAGGGTATTGGAGGAGGGTGGATGGGCTTGAGGTTGATGTGCTGGATTTTCACCAATTCCATGTTCTGATGGTTTTCTTCTTGGCTTGGTTTGGTGTCAAATTGACCAAAAAATATTCCAAGCAATGACTTTGGTTGTACTCTTTGGTATGTAGGAAATGCACCACCAGTATTCTTGTGCTAAAATTTAAGATTCATATCAGATTGCATTTTCAGCAAGGACAGTTGGAAATGTTTGAGCAAATCTTTTTTGTTTTGTATTAATGTCTCTACTTGGAAAATGGATCACAAGGAGACAAAAAGAATCTGTTTTGAAAAATTGGAATGGACTAAATCAGTTGGTAGAACAAAATGTAGCTAGTAGACTGATCATGATGGCTAAAAGTTGCAGAAAGAAAAGAGAATCTGGTGTTTTAATACAAGTTTTTTTTATTCTTTTGCCAGTGTTGTTGGAAAAATAATAGGGGAAAGGTTTTTGCTGGAACAATCAAAGAGGATCTGAATGCTTCTGTCTGCCAGGCAGCAATGAAGTACTCCTGTGATTTGTAGATTTCTGCCCAATCCACAAACCAGTGGGGGATTTAGATTTCCACTCAATCAACCCAGGGGAGGTAGATTTCCACCCAATCAACCCATGGGATGTACTAGATTCTGCCCAATCAATAGAAGGGGGATGTAGGATCCACCCAATCAATGGAGGGGACATAGAGTTCCCCCCGTATTGGTGGTCCAACGAATTCACTTCTGAAGTACGCCTACTACTGCAGAATAACAATTTTTATGCCATGGCATGCATAGGAGCCAGTACAGTATCATACTTGTCGTACAGGACCCAGTAGAATGGTGCCATACCTTTTTGAATCAAAATAGTCAAATTGGGTCCAGAGGGGGATGAAATGTGAATTTAGAGCTAAAATATTTCATTCAGTAGTACTGGAAGAGGTTGAGACTACTACCCAAAAAGGGGGCTGGGAATACAAAATTCAGGGTACAACTGGGTGTATACTGGTATAGAAACAGTTATTGGAGGTATTAGTGCTGTATGCAAATGCTACCAAGGCAGCTTGCTGGGGAACAAAATTTTTAAAGCACATAATTGCCAAATATTTTCCCTTATTTTTTTTTGTCACACCAGGCCACCAGGATGATGAGAAAGATTTTGACAAATTCTCTTTGACAGCTCATCAGCTGGATGTTTAAGCTGATCATTACTACTACTACTATACTACTGCTGGTGTTTTCTTATTACTGGAGAATACCAGCAATGAATTGGAAAGTGATTCATTCTAATTGAAAGAAGAAGAACAAGGCTTTTCGAGCCTGTAACTGTTGGTAACATTTGCAGCACTTGCACCTTTTTGGTACATTGTTTGCACTTCTCCTCAAGAAGTGGAGGAGTTCTGTTGGTAAAGGGCTCCATGACAATGGTAACAAGCACCTGATAAGCAAAGTTATTCTGTTTGTCCAACAGCTCTGTCAAAAGCAGAAAGAATTCCTTGATGTCTCAATCTAGGACTGCTGTACAAGCAAACAGCTTTTCTTGCTCCTCTTGGTGTTGCTCATGGTTTCTCTTCCACAAAAATACTGCAACTGCTAGAGGAGGATCTCATTGTTAACACTCTTGCTGGGTTCTACCAACAAGTACTACAGTGTCTTCTTCTGGGTCTTGGTGTGAACAAGGTTGCTGGAGGGGAGAGGGTGCCACATCATGATCCCAATCCGCACCAGGATGCACACCACCACATTTAATTTCAATATCAAAGAAAAAAAGCTCAATATTATATTTAACCTCATGACCTAGAAGAAGAGGCACCATATTGGCCATAGCCATTGCCTCTTCTTACAGTTGCTTCTCCAAGGAGGTAGTACTACTACTACCTCCCTCTGAGGTGGTTTTGTGGGGTGCAACCAGTTCCATGCATACTTACAAGCCAATTATATCCTGAGAACAAACTAAGGACACATGGAGGGTGGTGATTCACAGTTTGGATGGATGAGAGCCATGGCATGATAATTTCAAAGTGCACTGCCAACCCAAAAGGCAAGTCACAACACAGTGCTGAACAAAATAGTAAGTGCCAATCACATGGCAAAGCCACTTAAGACAAGCTCTCCTGTAGCTAGTGGACAAGGACACAGGTAGTGAAGTAGTCAAAAAGTCTAAGCTAGATGAAAATCACATCTAATCAAACTTGCCTGGTTGCATTATGTTGCATATGTTCTTTCTTCTTGGAGAGGGAATCATGGACAAGAAGAAGCTTATCAATAGTAATGTAAGCAGGATACTGTTTAGATGGAAGGGCATGGGTAAGAAATAGACTGGTGATGGGGATAGATCTAAAGGGCTTTGGTTGTTGTTGTTGTTGTTGTTGTTGTTGTTGTTGTTGTCGTTGTTGTTGTTCAGCACAAGGGCCTGACAAGGATGATGCTTGGCTGGGAGCCATGATGTTTTTTGTGTCTGGAATTGACAGGTGAATTAATGCCTTAGTAGTAGTAAACTGCAAACAATTTTACTACATTCCAAGATGCAGATCCTCTCAACTTTTATCCCTATTGACATGACCCTGCTATCAGGGGTTCTTCCTTGTCTTTCTAATGTCATTTTATTGATGATATGGCAAAGATTTTCTCTTACTACCTTGTACTAGTAGTGCTTCACAGGTACATACTCACCACCTGGCATGTTGGATTTGATTTGGCACACTTCTTGCTACTACCAAGTTTTCTCTATTCTTAAAATTTTAGATCCAGCATTCCTCTGCTGGTGGTGTTTTGTACTAGTAGTAGTACATAGTTTTTGCATGACTTGAGGAAATCACACCAGAAAATTTGTGTTTACAAGAATGACCCATTATTTTGATATCCTCAATTCTTGTGTTACTAGTAACTGTACTAAAAGTAGTAGTAGAATCCTTCCAGCAGGTCCTCATATACTAGAGGAAAAAGGCATTCTACCCCAATGGTAAAACTTCTCATTTAATTTTGCTAAAACACCATCCTGGCCACCATGGTCACACTGATATCCCCACAACTACAACCAGGGGGCACCCCCCTTGGTGAACATAAGGAGGAGGAGGTAGGTATGACTCCTTCTTCTTGAGAAGAAGGCTGCAGCAGTCGTGCTCCTGGTGGTACTACCAGTACTACTACTTTTAGAAAGAAGAAGCAATAAGAAGGAGCAAGAAGAACAAGAACAAGAACAAGAACAAGAACAANAAGAACAAGAACAAGAACAAGAACAAGAACAACAGCAGCAACAACAAGAGAAGGAGGAACAACAAGGAGGAGTCACAACAAGGGTACTTTGCCTCATTGAACACCAGCAGCAGTGTTGCTGGGAATTCTAGTCCTAGTCCTAGTCCTAGTCCTAGTCCTAGTCCTAGTCCTAGTCCTAGTCCTAGTCCTCCTCCTCCTCCTCCTACTACTACTACTACCACTACTACTAGTATTGGTAGTACTACTATTAGTATGCCTCAGGTTGTCAACAGCATCCCATGCACAATGATCCGACTTCCCTCCTTGCGTCGCTTCGTAGAAATGATGTGCTTCCGAGTCAATCGTAGTGATACTAGTGACAACTTGAAATCAATTCTCTACCTCTCCCACGATACGAAGTACTTTACCGTACGTACTCGACTTCGTAAAAATAAAAATATGGATGTTACGTCTAAAACAATGTCGATCTTGGAGTCATAATATCATTTTAAATTGATATTATGCCTCCAAGATCGACATTGTTTTCAGCCCACTATCCGTACCGGTACGTAGCATCTCATTCTTTTCTCCAAGACTACGAAAGTCGAAAAGTATCTTGACAAAAAGAACGGAAGACAATGTTTATTTTTAGCTATTGAAAGTAATATTATAATGTTTTTCGTTCACGATCGGAAACTCTTTCTCCATTACAGTAGATTCACGACTGAAGGCGTGTCGTTCATCTTCGAACGACACAAGATTAACGGGAGGAAAAAAATACAGTACTCAATACTTCTTCTCACAAAACAAACGAAAAATTTCTAATTCTATTGAAGCATTAAAATACAACCCCAACATTAAATTATAACAAAAGACTGCCATGAAGTTTCTCCAAATCACTGTTGCAACTATTTCGAGTTTTTCCTTTCTTGTTGAGGAAGTCCACGGGCATGGGTACATGTTCGAACCGATTTCTCGAAATTACTACTCCAACCAATTTGGTTTGACTTGGGGGACCGAGCCCAACATTCCAATGAAAGAATATTGCTTTCATTGTCTCAATACAAAGGGAGTTGGATCGGTATGCGGCACATCCGAACAAGGTGTCAATTACGACAGTTGGCTTGATTCATTGCAGCAGCCAATTTCTTGGAACTCAAATGGAAACGTTTACCAAGAGGGCGGCATCATTACGGTCGAGACCTTCCTTACAGCCCATCACACTGGACACATGGAGCTTCGTGCATGTCCAATGGGCCGTGCCTCCACTCAAGAATGCTTCGACCAACATGTGCTTGAGTTTGTGGAGGATGTCAATAACTTCGATGTCAAAATGCCGAAGGGTAAGTATGCATTCAATTCAGCTGACAGAGCTAAGTTAAGACAAGAATGTTCCGTCAACTGACGTCATTGGTTGTTATCGTTTTCCTTTTTTAGACGAAAATTATCCAGAACGTGGTTACTATTACGGATCTCAAGCCTTTAACAATAATCGATTCGCTATGAACTTCCGATTGCCTCAAGGATTGACTGGAGAAGAGGTCTTACTGCAGTGGTTGTATGTACGTACTTTTCGAACTGATTTATGACCTATTTGCATGATCTATGATCCCCCAAATATCTCTGACAATATGAAAACTTCTACGACTTGTTAGGTAACAGCCAACTCGTGTTCCCCAGAAGGCTATGCCGAGTATTATAGTCTAAACAGTCACTTGCCACAAGAGTTTTGGAATCGACAACTTTCGACCTGCACTCCCGAGCAATTTCCTCCCGAGTTTTATACCGGCGACTCTCCAGAAAGATTCGTAAATTGTGCCGAGATATCAATTTTGCCGAACGACAACAACATTCATATTGATGAACCTACTCCCACATCCACACCAACTCCTGAAATCTCGACACAGTCACCTGTTCAAGTCATCTCGGTACCGGATGTTTCACCTCCAACACCTATCGCCACTCCTATTACCAACGAAAGCGAATCAAGAGTTATTGCATACGTTGGGAACTGGCAAGCGTGTCCTACCGATGAGCAGATCGCTCAGTATACACATGTTGTAATTGCATTTGCTGTTAGCTACCAATGGAGTCCAGGAAAGAATATCTGTAGCGAAACATGTGAAATCGCAATGCCTCCTGTTTGCGAAAATGTCAATCGGCCGGATCTTATCGCCAAATGGAAGGGTATGGGAAAGAAGGTGATTCTCAGTTTTGGAGGTGCTGGCATGGGAGGTAGCTGGGCTGGTGACAATAATGACTGTTGGGATTACTGCTTTGGAAGAGAAACAAAGGTTATCGATCGGCTAACAACCATTGTGAATGAGATGAATCTAGATGGCATCGACATTGATTATGAATATTTTTACAGTGACAACCAGAACGGATCTGGGTTTTCGAAGGGAGCCGAAGCCCGAAATTTTTTGACAGAKGTAACAGTCGGACTCCGAAATAGCATGGCCCCGGGAGCTGAACTAACCCATGCGCCGATGGAACCGGACATGGTACCAGGAACAGCGTACTTTGAAGTTATGAAGGACATTGCACACACTTTGGACTTTTTAATGCCCCAATATTACAATGGATACGTTCGTTCTTACGTCGACTTTGCCGGCGCTCTATCACACTTCACTACCCTTGCAAATGAATTATTCGAAGGTGATGCCAGTAAAATCGTGTATGGATTTTGCATCAACGACTGCGGTTCATTCAATCTTGACGGTTTTCAATCGGCCGAGGTCATGAAATGGTTGGCGGGAGAATATCCTTGCAATGGTGGTGCCTTCTTCTGGGTTGCCAATGATGATTTCAATGGAAATTGGTCGACGGAAGTAAATAATCAGATAGCAAGTGATGCCGACCTTTGCCTAGATCAGTCTCCCGTGGATCCAGTTCCAGCTCCCGTGCCAAATCCCACTCTATCCCCTGTCACTTTCTCCACACAAAACCCGACAGTTTCTCCGTCTCCAAAACCGACGAGTCTTCCCACCCAGTCTTCAACTCCATACCCCACGAGTGCTCCCGTCGTGAATCCAACGAACCAGCCCATCCCCTCTCCACCGGTCAGTATTGGTAGCGCCGGTTGTTGCTCAAATGATTACAAGACGTGTGCGTCGTGGTGCAATGAGAGTCGTCAGAAATGTGGATCTCCTATGTGTGCCAGCATGGTGTGGTTGGAGAACGGTTCCTTGTCTTCCGATACTTGTGTATCCCGCTGGGGAGCATGTACTAATGATGTTTCAAGCTGCTGTGGTGGTTTGGTATGCAAGGGTGAAAGTCGCTGGTATAAACAGTGTTTGGCACCCAACGATCCAGCTCCTAATTAAGCGAATGGAAGATATTCGGTAAGGTAGCTAATAACCTGCTTGTTAGAGATAGTCATAGAATATAAAAAATTCATTGATCTTTGAATCGAATGAACAAAATGCAGTAAGAAATAAGAATGAATTAATGTAATTCATCACTCTAAGACGCCTTGAACGCCTTGTACGTCCACCCCACATTCACGAGATAGAATACGGGAAATTAAGGGTTGAGACGATGCTATGGGAATTGTTCTGCTTTACGTATCAAAACAAGTTGTCGTGGCAAATAGGTTGTTCCCACTCCAAAAGGCTATCGAGAAGAGGTTGTTGCCGCCTTTGTTGAAGTTGTGTGGATATAGACAGTCATGATTGCGAAGCCAACAAGCAACATGCGAGATTTGTTTGCAACAAATGCAAAACATACCACGCATTTTTTCCCATTCCATCCCGTTGAACGTTTCATAGAATATATAATGATATGGCTCCGTAAGAACTTCAATCCAATCTGGAAAAAATAGGACGCCCCATCCAAAACAATCCAAACGAATCAGAGCAATGTCGTTGCTGAAGCTATTGTGACAATTTCGCTTTCTTTGTCTCTCCCAGCAAAAAAGGGGCGAAATTAAAACCAATGTTGTCAATGAAGCGCGGCAGCCATCGATAAATAAGGTCTCCACAGCAAGACACCCAATCGTCCACATCAGCTCTTTGCTTCCGACCTTCTAACACTGCGCTTGTGCTTGTCGTTCTTGGCCCGGAATCGTTTCCAGCTCCCCAAGTAGTGCGCGGGGCAAGACGGGGACCGCATGGAGGAAGAGAGTGCCGACACGCATTCATTTAGAAAGGGTCGGTGAATGTTTAAGGGTGACGAAACCAGGGTCGTTTCCGAAATATTCGAAAGGTCTACAAACAACTCTCCGTACTTGTTTTTCTTGAAGTCCTATTTTGAAGCGTCCTGCTGAAAATGCAGGGTATCGAGACGAACCAACCCAAGGTTTTCCGAACCTGGGGGTGAAGTTCTGGTTTTTGGACGAGCTGCCCATTTCAAGTCCACCTATCGTTTCTTCGAATTCATGTTCTCTTATTGAGAAATAGAGAATAATTTACCACCCACCATTTGAGGTCCGTGCTTGCTGCTGTCCATTTTTTAAAGACCGTCGTGGATGTAAGATGCTTTGCAAAGAATTGGGAGTGAACTTTTCCAATAGAACTCTGGCTCTCACAGACATGACCGGAACAGCAACTGTTGTTGACAGATGTTGAACCATCGTTATTGAATTATTGCTTTCTATGGGGATCGTACGTACGGTACGTACTTTACGTACCCCGATACTTCCAACAGTTTCACAATTTTTCTGCCATGTTACCGGTACGAGTAATAGTATAAACCTACCGAACGACTGTGAATTGTATCCGCGCGCGACCATTTTACGACAGAATCTTTTTTTCTTCGGATAGTGAGACTTGCGAGTTCGCCAAAATTGTGAGGTGGAACGATGGCAATCTTGTTGACAAAGTGTGACTACATTGCTTATACCCAAAATATGGATTGTTTCCAACACCACACAAGACTGCCCCCCCGACAAACATCGGTACGTATTTGCCGAACGGATTTCGTTGCGAAGATTCCTTCCGGTGACATTAGAAATACTCGAACTACAGTACGGCACGGTACTTACCGAGAGTGCCAAGGGCAGGATCACGATTTCAACCGAGTTCGACCAACACGGGGCACTGCTACCGCAAGATCCAATTATTATTCGTGTAGACGTGCTGCTTTTTGGTCCGTTGCACGTTGCGATCGTTCGACGAAGGGTTTGCCGTCTTATTTTATTTTTCGCTGCTTCGAGTTTTTTCCGACAGAATCGCACAGCTGTTGCGAGTGCAGCACATACCAAGTCGCACATCGCGTTGCTTCGTACAGCATCAATCCACGAGACAGCCATTCTCACAGCGTACGAGTACTTCAATCTTCCCACATACGGAATAGGCAGAAACGAACGAACGCAAGGGATACAATATCATTCACCACTCGGACTGCAAGCACAATGAGTCGTTCTGCTATTTCGATCGAAAGAGCCCCGTCAACGGTTTCTTCGTCGTCGACCTCGACGGCGACGTCGTCGTCGACCAGCACTTCAACGGCATTCACTGCGTGCTCGTCCTCGTCCTCAAGTGCATCCTACTTTTCGATGGATACGGCGGTATCTTCCTATGCAAGCAGCCGAACTAGTTATTACTCGGAAGATTCTATTGGTACCAGGTATACCCATGATACTGGCTATCCGGATGTTTCTAGAGAGTATCGTCGGAAACAGCACGGCAATGAGCGACGAATGCACCGATCGAAGCGAGAACAAGCACAAGAACAAGAACAAGAACCAACCCAATCGGGTAGTAATGCTAAGGCCAACGCCAAAGCAAACGCCAAAACCAAAGCCAAAGCCAAAGGCAATGCCGGAGATCACCAGGTTTCGGAACCGACACAAACGTTTTCGAAATGGAGTTTTGCCGAACGTCTCTCTGAAGCCTTTTGCGAAGGCATTGACCATCGCTTTTCGTGCGGCGTTGGCAGAGGCATGGAAGTTTATCACGATTACGACGACAAGGGCCACGCGCAGGACGACTCTATTCTAGGAAACGACGGCGACGCCAAGGACGGAAGCAAGGAACAAGAAGGGGATCACGGGATTTCCGGGTTCCGTCTGGCCAAGCAGCTGTCGTCCGATAGTTCTGCTGCGCACGGCGACGATCATCCTTCTCCCGCAGAGCCCTACTCCTCGAACCAGATCCATCGCCACAAGGCGTTCGTTTCCGAGTACCACAAAACGAGAAGGGCCACGATCCACATTCGAGAGCGAGAGAGGAAGGAAACGGATGCCGCCTGCGCCTCGGACTCCAAGGAAAGCCACTTGATTCGTACACAAAACGACACGACCCAAGGAAACCACCGTGGATGGGGCAAGGCTTCCGCTACCATCGCCTCCAATTCCACCTCGGAGAGTGCAAGCAACACGTCAAGCAACACGTCAAGCAACATCGTTAGCAACACCGCAAGCAACACCGCAAGCAACACTGCAAGCACCACCGCAAGCACCACCGCAAGCACCACCGCAAGCACCACCGCAAGCACCACCGCAAGCACCACCGCAACTAACACCCAATCCAGCCAATCCTGGTCCCCATCTCCGGTGAAAGCAGCACCGGAATCCAACCGCTCGAAGGCGTCATTTCCAACTCCCACTCTGGGGATCGAGGTCCAGAATGCCGTTCACGGGCGTTCCGAGGCAACAGCGAGTGGCACGGAGATAGTATTAACAAGAGACCGCGACTCTGTCGATGACAAAAAGACTCCAACACACTATCGCCACCAGCCACCACAGTTAGAAACAGATGACAACACATGTGCCACCAGTAGCGCATACACCGCTACCAGCAGTGATGAAAGCTGCATCAGAACAAAACACGGCGGCCGTAGTACCCACGAGATGACGATGATTCGCACCCAATCCATCCGTCGTGATCAAAGCCACGTTCCAGATCACTCCTCGCAGCGACCTGAACAGGCTCCACGAACAATCTTCTATGCCTTGCCTTCTTCGTTAGTGCAACAACCACAACTTGTGTCGCAACTCCCGAATCAACGACTCCAGCCTCCCAATCACCACCGCCCTCGCCGACATGTGCGTAGTCACAGCTTTGGTTCGACGTCGCTCTCGTCATTTGGTGCCAGTAGTTATAACAGCAGCAGCAGCAGCGAGGACTCAAATATAATCGCAAACACAACGTCGACTTCCTCTAGCAGAGGCAACTCGATTTGTCAAAACAGTTCGAGTCATTTGGACTCTGACCAAGTACAGGAACAACCGCAGATGACCTTTTATCTCCGACCATCCGTAACAACCGTGAAGCATGTTCTCAAGGAAGACCACCAATCGCAACAAATGCATGAAAACAGACGGCGTACGGCTATCCAAACATCCACTTGGGACAGCACCCGTGACAAAACAGCACTCCCCGCCGTCACCGCCAACGCCACCGCGTACAGAGAGAATTATTCCGCTTCAATGAAAATTTTGCAACGGATACCGGGAAGAAGCACCGCAAAGATCGCGGATGAGATGACGGACGAAACCTCAACCTCCGCAGCATCAACATCAATATCAAATTCCGCAGCCTCAACATCTGCATCAATATCAACAGATGACAAGAAGGTTTCGCTTGTAAGAAACCGAAACAAGGCCAAGTCCCAAATATCGTTATCCTTATCGTCATCGTCAGCTAAGTTGTCCTCTACTTCTGGTATTGTCAGCAACAAGGAGAGAAACACTTCTGATAGCAGCAGTTGTAGCAGCAATAGTAATGACACTGACAACCAATCAAATACCTCCACCAAATCTGTCAAAAGGGGAAGCAAACAGACCTCTTCAAACAAGTCTTTTCCTTTCAGTATAAATCATAGCTTGTTCCACAAAAACCAGACTCTAAGGCAAGAGAGGATCCATCGTGGGCAACAAAAGCACAAACAAAAGGAACAATGTCGCCAAACTAGTGAATAACTTTACGCTTACCCTAAACATGATGAACCAAGTACACCAAATTAAGCGTTGAACCGTTTTTGTAGCATAAATGACATATGAGTGGTTGGTAAAAAATTCCATGATATGTGGTCGTTGTAACAGATTTAGTACTATTTTGGCAATTTTAGCACCAAAACCAGCCCACAGATCCACCACGGGTCTCCGGCAGGAAAAAGGGAACCAACGATGATTGAATGCACGAGTACTGCGTTTCCTAGTTCTGTATTTTGTTGTACACGCAGAGTACCGTAGAACTTGAATTATATAATTTATTGTAAATGTAAAAAAGAGTAACACAACCCCAACCCCAACTCGAAAACAACTGTATGGTACTTCTACTATCTAACCGGAACCGCTTCTCTTCCGTCAAGAAATTCGCTGTCTTCGCCGGCTTCGATATCAACATTACGGGTATGAGTTCCACAGCCGGTACCACTTGCAAGAAGCATGCCCCCAGGCTCGCCTTGTGTAGGTTCCGGATCCTGGGCAAAGCTCATGCGGCCGACGAAGATGCTGCACAAGGTCAATACGGAGAAGGTCGAACCAGTAGCAGGATATTGAAGGACGGGAATTCCAGTGCCAGATAGACCGAGTGCAACAAGGTCAAGGAAGATACAGGTTTGAAACATCCGGACCACGGATCCTCTCACGGGGTCGTTTGGGGGGAAGTCAATCCTTTTGTCGGCGGACACGCCAGAATACTGGTACTGGTACTGGTTCAGACACCGCGCAATTGCCAAGAGTTGGAACATCGTTGAGACACCAATGAATTTGCGAAAGGGTTGAAAGTTTTGCAGCTTGGTTGGATCAGGATCCCAGTGGATGTATCCCTGCAGAAAGCAATAGAAGGCGGTCGACATGCAGCATGAAACCCCAAGCACCGAATAATTGAGGGCAATGCCGAGCCCGGCAAAGTTTTTGATGCTTCTGCGTGCGTTGAATTTCAGGCTGATCAAGACGCAGGCGCTGTTGCCAAAGACATACGCAACGAGGCCTGTCGCGATACTAATGTGGGCGAAGGGCCCAACCGCCGAAAACTCGTCGTTGGTGTTGTAACGGTGAATGCTGCACATGCAGCTCATTAGCTGGCAAAAGCAGGCGCCCAGGGTGATCTTGAGGATTTTGTTTCTGTGGAGCTCTTTTTTGATGATGCCCTGCACGACCAGAATGTACAAGATGTTGAAGAAGTTAAAGGCAAAAAACCCAATGTGCGCTACCATGAAAAGCATATTGCGCTCATCCGTTCCAGGGACTGTTGCATCACCGAGCTTGAGGAATGAGACTAGAGGAATGGTCGCCTTGAGGTCGTTGTCTTCGGGCATCGAATCGTTGTTGTTCCCTGGCATTGTAGTTTTGTGAGTATTGCTTGGGTTTTTATGAATTTATGAATGCTTCTGTTATCGATATCGCAAAAAGGAACGAGAAAAAAAGTGAAGAGGAGCGATTAAAAGAGTTTCCGTCAAAAGGAGCAACGAGAAGATGAAAAACCTAATACCGGTAGGGTGTTCGACACTTCCTGCGTGCATCCGAAAACCTAGGGTACGAGACACAAGTTCGTCAAATTTTGCTGGCAAGACAATGACTACGATTACGTAGGTACTCGTACCTGCTGTACTGAAGGAAATTGTACAGGTAGAACAAGTACTGTATCCCTGGGACTCACTGCCCTCCAGAGTGTTCGTTAAACAGTTTTGTGACGCACGTAGGGGTACGTCGATTTTGTACGGGTATCGCTGCTGTCGCAGATCAAGTTTTGTCACGACTGAATTGTCAACATCTTTCAATACCTCCTTCGCCAAGAAGTCAAAAGAACAAAAACAAAAACGCTTCATTGACGTATAGAATTGTCAGGCTACTGTACTGTCCCATTCGTAGATTACGATCTATCTTCTTGCACGTGCTCTATACATGTACCATACATACTACTCGTAGCTCTCATTTTATTCCCACAAAATAATTTAGAATCCCGGATCCATGGTGCGACCAAATAGTATCACGCACGACCAACATAGTTTTTGCTTCCACGTCGCCACCTGGGACGTTCTGAAACAGCGAATTTCCACGTACGTTGACCTAAAAGATCTCCGAGTAGTTGGGGTTTGGGTTTGGGTTTAGGTTTAGGTTTGGGTTCGGGGGTAGATAAATTTTCCAGGCTTGGAGTTAGGGTTTGGGTTTTGGTTTGGGGTTAGGAATGGGTTTGGGGTTGGGGTTGGGGTTAGGAATGGGTTTGGGGTTGGGTTTTGGTTTGGGTTTGGGTTTGGGGTTGGGGTAGGAATGGGTTTGGGGTTGGGTTTTGGGGTTGGGTTTTGGGGTTGGGTTTGGGGTTGGGTTTGGGGTTGGGTTTGGG